AGTTTCAAGTAATTCTGGTCATAAATATTTTTTGGATTGTTTTATAACGTATTTTCCCTAGGGAATTAGATAATCTCCCGCGGTAAAAAGTAGCCTATGTCACTCTCTAGGCCTCCAACTATCTTCACACAAAAAATCACGCCAATCCGTCACTCCGTTTCGACGTGAAAGAAGGACAAACAAACAAACACACTTTCACATTTATAATATTAGTATTCATATCGTGCTATCCACATGCTACAAACATTATCTTTAGTGGTTACTAATCTTGTGGGCGTTATCAGAGCTTAAATAATATGTATGTATGCAAACATTTAATCCAATTTAATCAGGAATATCACAATGTTATGCACTTGAAACGGTAATTCTATTAATTTAATCGAGCAGCGGGCACCGATCATCGACCTCCAATTATACCTTATTATTTTTCTAAAATTAATTACCCTAAGTTACTCTTTATAATATCAGCTATCTGCAAGTGAAAGTCCCGTCAAAATTAGTCTAGCCGTTTCGGAGATTAGGCGGAACAAACATACAGACAGACGGAAAAAAATTTGAATTGTTGTGTTTTTCTTATAAATATAATCCGCTTATAATTTCATATGCATTTAGTAAAAAGCTGTTATTTTGACACAGACACACATACACACACACACACACACACAACTTTTTAGCGTTGGGAAATGCCTTAGGTACTGCACACAAACGGTTATGTGAGACTAACTGGCTAGAAAAGCTAGTACTACCCACTAAAACCTTCTCCGTCTTAATCAAATAAATAATTAATTAATATTTTTTAATTTGTTAATATTCTTTATGGTTATGCATAATATATTATAGCAACACTAAATAGTATTAGTAATTAATAAATTAAAAAAAAGAGATATTTTTAATAATAATAGAGCTAAAATCATATTGCTATATTTAATTATAATATTTATAAAAACAAAAAATTTTTTTTAGATGTTTAGAAATAAAAATCAACAATATCAAAACGTAACTCTCTATGATCCACCAAGATCAACCAACTTCGCTAAACCACGTATTTCCATTGAATGTAATGATGGCGTCTCGACCCCATTCGAGACGTAATCTTCTGCTCTACATTTAAAATTACTTTAAAAGCAATAAAAACTAAATACAAATAAATAAATAAATAAAAATAAAAACTAAACTAAATAAGTAATAACATAATGACTTTAAACAATAAGGTTTTACATTCTAGCATAAAAACGTCACTAAATCCTCCTCCGTCATATACATATAATATAGTATATATAATATACATAGGTATGATGAGTTGTCGTAGGTTGTATTATAACGTGTTTTATAATGGGATTGAGATAATCTCTTGCGATAAAAAGTCTAAATCACTCTCCAGCCCTCCAAGTATTTCCACACAAAAAAATCACGCCAATTCATCACTCTGTTTCGACGTGAAAGAAGAACAAACAAAAAAAACAAACAAACACACTTTCACATTTACAATATTAAGTATAGATAGATTATTTGTCCTTGATTGAAGTTTTGTAACCAAAATTAAACTGTATCTGTATCTAAATAATCTTAACTGTTCATTGATCTAATTTAAACATACTTGTATTTCAAATGTTAACTCCTTATGTTGCACAAAATAAAAACATATAATCTATACTAATATTTATAAAGAAAGAGGCAGAGTTCGTTTGTTTGTTTGTTTGAACTTGCTAATCTCAGGAACTACTAATCCGATTTGAAAAATTCTTTTTCCATTAGATAGCCCGTTTATTGTGGAAGGCTATTATAGGCTATATACCTATCATATAATATATAGTCTATATATTTCATACTAACCGTCAAAACGTACTTACCTAGTACACAATAAATACTCTTAATTATTTATCTTATTTACATTATAAAAACCGGCCAAGTGCGCTGTGCGAGTCGGACTCGCGCACGAAGGGTTTCGTACCATTATCTATAAAAACGGAAAAAAATCACGTTTGTTATATGGCAGCCCCCCTTAAATATTTGTTTTATTTTAATTAAATTATTTACTTTTAAAGTGAATATATAACTAAATATTCTGTGATTCAAGCGTCTACCTGTTGCCGTTATCAATATCGAGAAAAAAAATCACGTTTGTTGTATGGGAGCCCTTTTAAATATTTATTTTTGTCATTCTGTTTTTTAGTATTCATTGTTATAGCGGCAACAGAAATACATCTGTGAAAATTTCAACTGTCTATCACGGACCATGAGAAACAGCCTCGGTGACAGACGGACAGACACACAGACAGAAGAACTCTGCCTCTTTCTTTATAAATATTAGTATAGATATGGAATATCGTATGGACAGCGGAGTCTTAGTAATAGGGTCCCGTTTTACCCTTTGAGAACGGAACCCTAATAAACACTAACACGTATTAAAGTAAATGGCTAGTGTAAGATTCATCGATATTTCACACAAATGGAGATAGCGGAAGCCTATGTAATAGCTAGCGGCTTACCTCTATACATACTCTATTCACCCTTGGCTTGCCCATTATATGGACATTACCTAACTAGGTACATACATATGGATGTATCGTATCTTTACGATAAAGCACTTTGATGTTTTAGTATTACTTTAGTACTACTAATATTATTTTTTAAATCAACTTGAAAGTTATCGAACTGCTAGATTTAAATAACTTTCATTGTATATAATCTAGAAAGTTGCAATTTTTTATGTATATTAAATTGCTAATTTTGCTGCTTTGTTAGAGTATTAGTTGGATTAAACAATCAAATTGAATTAAAAATTTCTCAAAATGGCATTGTATTGTTTGTTCGTTGATGAATATTACTTTTTTCTCAGACCTTCATTACGTAACTTTAGCCTGCAGTCTAAGGTTAAATTTTTACTAAATGAATAGGCTTCCAGTAATATTTGCATTTTTATTCCACGTTGAGCCAAAAACTTTGTAATGGTCAAAAATGTAGTAACAAACAAGTATAACTTTAATTTAGTTAAATACTGCTTTACATGGTCACGATTTTGCTTAAATTATATGTACATAACTAAATTAACAAAAAAAACCGAGCATCTTGGACCGATTTTCATCAGACATAGCTAAAAACACTCCTGGCTAAATCACTTTTCAAACAAAAAAAAACAAAGTCGAAATCGGTTCAACCGTTCGGGAGCTGCGATGCCACAGACACACACGCATACACAGACACGTCAAACTTATAACACCCCGTCGTTTTTGCGTCGGGAATTAAAAACTATAATAAATAGAATGAAAATGAAATAACGTTATCAAAACATGAGAAGGATATGTTCTATGAAAAATGATGATTAGGTAAGTAGATATAATTATTTAAAGATCTTAAAGTAATATATATATATTTTTTTATATTATAAAATAACAATAAATATAATTTATCATAAAGCAAAGAGAATATCTCTGACATTGTAAGTTCTTGACGAATAGATCAAACGTTTTTGTTGTCTTTTGTACATGAGTAAAGATAAATAAATCTTATATAAATGCAAATCAATTAAATGGACGAACAATGAACACTTGTGCCTATCGACAAAATTTCTGTAGTATAAAGATTAGCGATTTTAAACAACACAATGCACGTAACAGCAATGGCAACAATACACTTTATATAACCAAAGTTACGCACTGCATCAGACAGGCCCGACTTACCGACAAAACCGACCCACCGTGAAACGATAAATTGAAACTAAGTAGTTATTAACCACAGGCTGCCACCTCCTGGCGTTGATAACACAACCACAACAACCACCCGCGCAGAAGATCACCACTTCAATTCCTGACGAAAGTAAATATAATAAGAAGGACATTGTATATCATTTACTTACTGCAGGAATCGAACAAAAACGTCTGTGCGTCCGATGATATTGCATTAAGACAGCGAAGGTTACTTTGAGTTTCAGTGGGTATTACTTGTTTTTCTAGTCTGTGAGTAATGAATATCCACATAACCACGTAAAGCATTTCGTAGTGTTAAAAATATCGAACGTGGGAATTGGGATCGTCCAATTCTGTTTTATCTCGAGATTACCTGTAAATGGAGAGCAGCGTCGTGACGTCATATTATTCCACTTCCATATGCCACGATGAATTGTTAAAATAATACTTTCTTATCTTATAAATTATTAGTAGGTACAATTTAAAATTTTACTCTTCATATTGCTATGCAAGGGCCGTTGCAGTATTATTAGATGGGCATAGATATATTTAGAATCGATAAAAATAAATATAGCAACTCAAATATATCAAAGCTAGGTAAATATATATGCCCAAGATGAAACTTTGTGAAATTTTATGATAAGTAAATACTGTAGGTAATAAATAAATAAAATATATTTAATTATAATTAAAGTCAATCGCATCTTATTTGCTAATTTTAACATCCTTTCGATGTATTTGTACCTGTGAGTGACATTTAGGATTATTTCTTCTAATAAGCCCAATTATATATTAATTTTAGGAGAATTTTTTGCTTCATCGTTTCATATTGTATGACTTTTTCATCACGACCTTCACCTTTCATGAAGCGCATATCTACTGCAGAATTATCTGGCGATATCGGCTGTTCTAATTGACTTCGGTTATCACTTGAACAATAAATGAAGTTCTTAATAAAAAAAATTAATCCGTACATCTGCAGTAAATGTTTATTGGTACTGTTTACTTTCTTAGAGAGCTAATATATACCTAATTTCCAACATGATCACCACTTGTCTTAACTGTGAAGGAAAATATAGTGAGGAAACCTGCATATCTGAGACCTAGCAAGTTTTCAAAAAACATGTGAAGTCCACCAACCCGCACTTGGCCAGCGTGGTGGGCTATGGCCTGATCCCCCTCGCATTGAAGGGAGCGTCGCATTGCGCCCGTCCCCAGCAATGGGATGTTAAAAAGGGCTAAATAAATATACATAATAGATAACTTTTAATAGCAAAATGTAAAATTTTAAAAACTCATCTCTTTTAATTCCAGAATGGTGATCTGTGTATATCCATTCTACATCCACCTGTGGACGATCCTCAATCAGGTGAACTGCCCTGCGAGCGCTGGAACCCAACGCAATCAGTTCGTACAGTGTTACTATCCGTCATCTCTCTTCTCAACGAGCCTAACACATTTAGTCCAGCCAACGTAGACGCGAGCGTCATGTACCGCCGCTGGCGTGACTCCAAGGGCAAGGATAAAGAATATGAAAACATTATAAGGTAATTGCCCCTTATAATACATATTTTTGTTCATTATAATGGTAGATGTTTGTGTTTGATTCATTTGTAGGAATAAAATGCGAATTCATGACTTTTTTGTTTTTCCCGTTTCAGAAGAGGCTTAATTTTACATTATTTATTTTCTTACATAGTTTATTTACGCTTCATCTAACATTTATAAGTTTTAAGTTAAAATATATTTGTTATTTATTAAAACGCTGATATAGTTTCTGAGGTTTTGTTAATATTTGAAAAGTGATTTACCTGAAGGTAGTAACGGAATGTATTTTGTATATTTAATGACACGTTAGGTGTCGATTCCGGTTATCGATTGAGTCTTTAAGCCATATAAGAAGCCCAGACCTACTTTACGAACTCTCTTAGCATAAATCACCTTTATCTATTATATGTATATTACTTAAATAATAAACATAAAGAAAATAAAATATAAACATAACAAATAACTTCTGGATAGTGACTACTTTATTATAATTCCTACACTCAGTGACCACTGACTACTGACATGACATATTGTATTATCATATATATTTTATTTTATATAAGTATGCTGTAACTATTATATTTTTTTATAATTACAGAAAACAAGCCCAAGTAGCACGCATGGAAGCAGAAAAGGAAGGAATAGTAGTACCCCTCACATTAGAAGATTATTGCATTAAAACACAAGTTAAGTCTACGACACAAGAACCACAGGTACATACTCTATCACAAGTAGAATCTATATAATATTGCTGGAAACGCGAAAATAACTATCTTTTCCTAATTAAATTTTATTATTTCTCTCGCGCATTTTTTGATATAAGGAAATATAAGTTGCCCTTGAGGTTATAGTGTATCGATTCACTATGGGATTAGAAGACAGACGGGTTAGAAATAGAAACAAAAAAAAGTTCTTTAAATACCTTCTTACCCCTAACAATCCTAACAGCCCACGCAACCTCCGAGCAGAGAAAACCATGACGTAAATAGTTAGTTGTTGGCGACCATGGTGGGGGTCGTTTAAAGTGCATGGGCAGGGTAAAGAATGTAATAGAGTAGGTGCTAATTATTTTTTTATAAAATTATCTAAACACACAAACTTTAAGAAAAAAAATCTGCTGTTCTTTCTCCATCTTTTGTTCTACGGAAGAATTTTTTTTTTAATTACTTAAGGAAGTTAGGGCACTTCGCTCGGGAGTATCGTAATATTATAGTTTCTTAAGTAATACAGCTTGTAATGCAGCTTCCTATTAATGAAAAAAAATCAGAACCAAATCAGAAGTTTCGGAGATTACATCCTACATGACCAAACATCTAAACACGATATTTTAATTTTATGTAAAAGTATAGATTAAGAAAAAAAAACAATTAAACATGTACAATAGGATTGAGTAAAACCGCACTCGACACTTCTATAGTTTCAACACCTGTAATAAAAAGAGTATGCAATGTTTAACTTACACTTTACACAACAAATAACATACAAATACCTAAACGTGACAATTACACGCAATTTCTATTAAGAAATAATTTCATTATATTTTTGTAACTACAATCGCAATTTAATGTTAATAATAATTGTTAATTATTGCGTTTGATAAGTGATTACGTCACATACACGAACACATGATATCTTATGTATATGTATACTCTGTGGAAAATTATAATTTTATTGTGACCTCAAAAATTAATTAGTATGACGTTTTTCTGTTAGACAATATTATAAAAGAGGTCACCCAATAATTCTGCAGCGATATTGATCTAAAATTCAAATAAGTCAAATAAATACAAATACGCATACCAATCTAATTTAAAAACACTCGTTCCAATAAAAGAAAAAACAATATGTTGACAAATTTTATATCGATCCATTCAATAAAATTATCAGTAGCCAGTGGTAGCCCAGTGGTAACGCGCTCGCTTGGGAAACCGAGTGAAGCGAGTTCAAATCCCGGGTCTCGCACCTCCGATATTTTCATGTGCGAATCATTTCCAATATGATTACCACTTGTCTTAACGGTGAAGGAAAACATCGTGAGGAAACCTGCATGTCTGAGAGAACCTAGCAAAGTTTTCAAAAGACATGTGAAGTCCGCCAACCCGCACTTGGCCAGCGTGGTGGACTATGGCCTGATCCCCCTCGCATTGAAGGGAGGCCCGTGCTCAGCAGTGGGACGTTAAAAAGGGCTGAATACATTCAATAAAGACTTGTCTTTATTATTTATTCATGCAATACATATTATATATTTAGCTCAATACGTACTTAGCTCGTTCTCATTGTTGTTTTCACTTTTGTAAAAAACTCATGATAAGAAAGCATGGCGAGGCCAAAGCACACATTTGCAGTTACTTTTTTTTTAATTGATTGAATGAGGTGAGTCTTATCTCTTAAGATGTCTAGACAGGTGTTCTGTTATTTATAAACGTATTTCTATTGTTTACATAAGGGATGAGTGAGCTTAACAGTTGAGGTCTCACATTTGGCAACCTATTTCCAAAGTCATGAGAATTTGCCAAATATCCTTGACATTTCTAGGATGAATATAAATGCGTATTAATAAAAGTCTGCTTTTAAATTCGATGAAAAGGCCTTTAATCTCGTAATTAGGTACATATGTATGTTCACAATTCAAAATTAGAAACATTGACATTGGTGTACTTTGTTTTGAAGGAAAGGACACAAGTAGGTTAAAATATTATGTAGGTACTTGATAACGCAAGTGGGTTAAAATATTATATTAATCTACTATATATGTAGTCTCTTTGATCATAAAATTAAAGGCCTTTAAAGAAGTTTGATTATTAATGAAATAGATATAATGCAAATTGAAAGACTAAGTTTTTACTTCTTCTACTACTATTGTATAGTGTACAATATATACATAGAGAGTGAACTGAGCGTTTCTTTGTCATCTGTAAACTAAAAATGTATTACCAGATTTTTCTATTACACAGTACACGTTTTATATTTTTTTAACGTTCCTTTTGAAATTCAAATTGGAATAAAACTTACTGGCCGCACGGTCGCTTCCTCTCTTTCTAGATAGTGGACAATTTCATGAGTCCATTCTATACGTATAATGATAGTGTATAATAGTCATCACTCATAATATTTTCAAACTTTAAGTCTAGCTACTAGATTATACTACGAGTATATAGCTTAGCATTTTTCGGATTCCAATCGCATATTTATTATCTATACATACAGATAAATAAAATGGAAGTGTCTGTTTGTAATGTCAAAATAATAGCATTTTACTAAATGAATATGAAATTGTATACGATACTTATAAGAAAAAACAAATCATTTTTAATATTAATACGTTTTTTACAGCTGGATATGACAGATTTCTATGACGACGACTATGACGATCTCGACACTGACTCCGAGGGGGAGTTGGAAGGTGGGGAGGACGGGGACGATAGCGGTAATGGCGAGTCGTGATACGACACACAGATCTCACGCGACGGACGGACTACCAGACGGTTATAATTGGCAGGGCTGCCAGTAGTAGACAACTTCTGCCAGTAGTGCCAACTTGTTTTATACTACTGGGTCACTCAAATTATACCAAATCAAATTTTCTTATACAAATTAACAAAACTGTTGAGAAATAGTCTGTGATGAATAAAAAAATCAATAAACTAATAACTTAAAATAAAATATACATAAATTAAAATATACATAAAATAACCATAATTTAAAATTTTCGTATATCCAATAATTATACGATCTGGCAGCCCTGATAATTGGCATGCACTGTTTATGTCAAAATAAAACCTACGTTCCATTCTACGATTGCTGACACAACGCAATAGTGGCTAACATTGAATACGTTTCATGTCCCAGTCTGTTTAAGGACGGCTAAAATATTATACGTATAACACGAATTTCATATAGTTATTTTAATTATATGTACTTAGATTTTTACACTATGCAAAATTGATTTAATTTTGTTATGTTCATTTAAAATGATAGCCGTCAAATAGAACGTTCTTATCTGATAATAATTTATAAAATGAGAACTCTTCTTGTAAAACAAGTTTTCACACTCGAAGTGTTAATAATAAAAAGAAATATTCCGAAGAATTGAGAACCTCCTCCTTTTTGGAAGTCGGTTAATTATAATCTATCAAATAGCATAAAGAATGACCTTAAAATGAGATTATAAAGCCTTCAATCTAACTTTAAATATTCTGGAAAAGGACCGTCGAAACATCACACATCTACATTAAATAGAAAACAAATTGCTTGACCAATTTAAAATATTTTATATATAATATGGGCTTTATAAATCGTTGCCCTCTTAATATTACAAGCTTTATCATATTCCTTATGTGTATATCAACATTTAAGCCTTAAGTCATATCTATCAAATTGAATATAATATTTGGCTTTAATCTTCCTAAATTAATGTAAAAATAACAAGTAATCTCAAATCTATAGAAATGCTTTCTAATAGTGGTCAAGTACATTTGATCTGTTTATTTAAATTAAACAATTCTGATATTCAATGTAGTAAAATATTAATCACTGCCACAGAAAGTGTTTGGATGTTTAATGAATTTTCATCACAAATAAGTTATGTTATGCCATCTTATGATAAAATTATTGTCGCTCTTACAGCTGATAAAAATTAGTAATAAATACTTCGCCTTTGTTTTACGAGATAAGATGGTTTTTAGGAAGAGGCTAAGAGAGAGAATAATAAACCTGTAAAAATCTATAATATTATTATTTAATAGGATTGTATAAAAATTGAAATGTGTCTCATAAACATACTTAAATATGAGAATATTTACTTGGTTAACGACATACTTTGAATTCCAAAGGACATCAGTATGGTAAAAGTACAAATTTTTTTTTTTTAATTAATTAAAATATTCTTTGAATGTTTTTGGCGTAAATTAATAGTGATTATCCACAATTAAATAATGAATGTCTAATATAAAATGCCAATTCTATTTCTTTAATGAAGAGTCCGCCGTTCGCTTTAAGTGTATAGTTTAATTATTCTAATATTCATTCAATAAGTCATTTAATACTTTTATAAGTTCTCATAAGTAGGGGCTTATGTTAGTAGACCAATTATTATTATTATTATTTCTTATTTCTTACTGTTTCTGTGATTTTAAAACATTATTGTCTAATATTTGAAATGCTTCATATATTTTTAATAATACAACTTACAATTTCAATTCTTACAATAAATACTTTTTTTTTTATTAAATATTTATAGTTTTTTTTAGTCATTAGTTTTTTCTTTTAATTATTTGTGAAATTTTTTAACACTAAACGTATGAAGACATCACAATATAATTTTCTCTTGCAAAGCAATGTATATACCGATGTTAAGTCATTTGATTATGTAATATCAAAATGTACAGAGATTAATGGATTGTAGTCTTCAATTATTGTTCGAACGTAGATATGCTCAAATTGAATGTGTATGATAATACTGATATAAATTCATTACACTTTAAGACATATTCAAAGAGTAGGTACATGCATATATTGTTTTAGTGTTATTTGAACGAAATTATTTAAGTATATAAGTAATTTTAACAATTAGTCTACAGTAAGTTAGTGCTAGAATGTATAACTTAAATATAACATCAACAATTTTAGATTATCGTACGACTCTCTAATCTATTGGCTTTTATATTAATTGAAATGTATCTGAGCGCCATTTTTTTTTCTTATAATATAAATTATCTGCTTTCATATAATTTTTTTTTGTTTGTACCTTCTAATAAAATTGTACTATTATATTAAAATTTAATGAATTATTATTTTTTAAATGTATTGTGCTTAGGACTATATATATACAGGGGATAAAGTGTAACTACTATAAATTCTGCAGTGATTTCTACCGTACATCAATCAGTAAATTCATAATTTTTAATCGTTCTTTTCTTTGCTCATATTCTTAAAACTACTGTATTAAAACAATTATATGAAATATAAAAAGAATGCTGCTTGTATTTAGTTTACATAGAATTACTAAATCGTCCGAATCTTAACTTGTAATGTAGAATAAGTTATATTAAGTGGTTTGGAAAATTACTGTAGAAAGTCACGACAAAGCGTTAATTACATAAAGATATTCAGTAATAAACTGCATGTGTTTGGATGCCATATTGACTTTTCTTTAGTTTATCTCCCTACCTTTTATCCCTTCCAGTATCATTTTATGAAAAAATCTTTATTTATCAAAAACTAGCGGCGCTCATGCTCGCTCCTCTCAGGTTCGTACCTAGTTACGTTTTACAGTTTAGTAAAGAATATATGTAGATGAGATTTTTTCCGCAGTAAAAAGTATTCTACATGTTGAGCCGGAGCTATCATCATACCAAATTTTATCAAAAACTGTCCAGTGGTTTTCTCGTGAATCGTGATGCGTTCCAAGACAGACAGACAAAAATTCTAAAAACTATAGATCGGCCTCTGTATCGATAATAATAACTATTTCAGTAACATTTTCCAAAAAGTATTTAATGTGTAGATTCGACTCAGAAAAAATATTTTTATAACAAAAAATTGTTAACTCTACCTTTCGTTAAAAAATAAACATGTTAAGGCTGTTCAAACTGTTTTAAAAACTTCCTTGATTAGTACCCTTTAAATAAGTAAAGAAATTTCTACTAAATATGAATTAATAAACTGAATCTTTATTTTTTGTTACTCAACTAATCATGTTAATCAAAACAACAAATTGATTAGTTTTGGTTTTATTATCCTATAACAATTTAATAATTCACTTATACTTTTTACCGGTTCCTCCGGTCTTGTTTAAAATGTGATCCACGATTTCTAACACAAGCCCCGGACCCGGTTTCATACTTCTGTGGTAGTAATTCCTATTACCTAACCGCATCTCCCCTCGTAAGATATTACAATCTCGGTCCATTTCTGCTATTAACTGGTCACCAGTCGTGTTCTCTTTCTTTCACGTAGACTAGAATCCTTTTAGCCTTCCCCGCACATAAAAATCCAAAACTGTCAAGTCTGGAGACCTTTCGGGCCACAAGACGAATCCATCTATTGGGGTAATTTTCTTTAAAATAATCCCTCACTTTTCTTGCGTAGTGTGCGGGGCATCCATCGTGTTTATATAATATTAAATGGCTTCGTAGCTTTAAAGGTACCTCCAATAACAAAGGTAGATCAGTTTATAAGATATATATAGGTAATATATATACTCCTCCAACGACAGCTCCCCAAACGTTAACGCTAAAGGAGCCTGCCTGCACTACACCGTCTCATACCATGATCGTGCTAGGACCGTGTCAGGCAAAAAAATATTCTTTGTAATTTATATTGAAAAGTATGAGACTCTGCCGACTAGACCACTCCAACGGCACCGTCGCGTGGCGTGTACAGAGCGTTAACAATTATTGGCGAGAATACATATGTGCCGGTACGCTCCGTGCATAGTACGCGACGTTGTGGGACCGGTGCGCGTAGGTGGCGCTAAGAAGAGCATCCGCAGACCTAAAGCCGTTATGTACGGGTATGATACGCTGTTGATAAGTTCTAGTGGGCACACACTTTTATAGCACGGTCATGGTATGATACGGTGTAGTAGCTGCAGACTCCTAATAAAGGGTATAGCCGGATAAGTATGACGAGACGGCCCCCAAATGGGAGCCTATTTTGAAACTTATGTTTCAATATCGACTTGTTTGTGACTTACAATCACGGAAATAATATATGTGCTATGTATTTTAATTAACATAAAAAAGTAATAAATATTGAACACTGGACTGTTTTTTTTTTCCTTTTAAACAATTATTCCTGCTTACCTAAGTTTTGAAACAAGTTTATAACCGTTTATGGGTCCATGTCATACTTATTTATTTATATATTAAGTGTTGCACTGATTTTTTTCTCACGCAATTTTTATGAGTGATAGTGCACATAAAGGAGTATAACATATATTATTCCCGTGATTGTACGTCACAGAGAAAACGAAAGAAAAAAATATTATTTATTATCTGTTAATCCGAAATGAAATGCTTGATGTTGTTTGACGCTACTTTCCGGAATTTAGATGGTTTTTAATGAATTTCAACCATAAAACAACTATACTCTAAATTCAATTCTTGTTGTTCTTGGTCTATGGATTCAATTATCAATGTTTGATTATAGTCAATACTCTAACTAGCAGGGCTCGGAAACGTTACTTAAAATATCGTTATTTAAATGTTCCTAACAGTCTATTGAACTATTATGTACATCTTTTTGTTTGGAACGAAAACGAAATGAGAACGTTTTCAAAAACCGGTTTAATCCGCAGGACGCGACCGCGCTTAACGTACAACTAAACTAAGCCACGCTTTAGTATTGTGCTCTGTGGCCACGCTCACCTAGTGAATGAAACTATTCGTAAGTTTGAACTGGATATCCCAGAAAAATAAGAAAAATAACGGTTAAAAACGTTTTATTAACCGAAAACGATTTAAATTTTGTTCCTGCTCAAAAACGTTTTATATAGTGTTCCGTTCAAACGAAACCAATACAAATCGTGTTTTAGGTATTTAAGACGAAACCGTTTCGAAAAATATACCGGTATCCGAGCCGTGCTAACTAGTATTATATGATCTGTGCTCAATCGTTACTATAAACGTATTTCAATGGTTAATTGGTTACTAATGACTATATAAGATCAATTATTTAATGGTTATTAGATTACACAATAGGAAGGAAATATAGAAAAAATAATGTTCCCCTTCTCTAGTAATCAGCAGTTTACAATAATGTTCTGGACAGCTGTTTTTCAACTTGACGTATATCAATTGTCAATATTGACAATAATATGCCACAAAGTTAAATTGTTAATAAATTATAAAACCCCTGTGTAACGCGAATGATCAAACTCGAACTTTAATTTAAGATTTTAATAATTTGTTATTGAAAATTATAATGAGTTATCTAAGTGATTTATCGCAATCAAGTGAATATTTAAGTTTTCGAAGTAGCATTCCGTTACGAAAAGTAGTGGTAGATTCAGATGGTGCCAAGGTAAACAAACAACTCTCCACTTAAGTTTCAGACACCATTTTACTTTTATTGCGTTTCTTCAGTGTTTAATGTTATATCTTTTTCTTATTTGTTCTCACATGCAAGTGAAATTTTCAGGCATGGAGAATTTTCGATAGTGGCCCAAAATCTGTTACTTGTCCCTTAGTATGCTTACCACCCGTATCAGGTACTGCCGATATTTTTTACAAACAAGTAATGGGTCTAACGACAAGGGGTATCCGAGTGATCGCAGCGGAGCCACCTCCATATTGGAATTTAAAAGAGTGGTGTGATGGTTTTAAACGCTTAATTGACTATCTAGAGCTTGATAAAATACATATTTTCGGCGCATCTTTAGGTTGGTGTTGATATTGAAATTTTAGAATAAAGTAGAATTCTAATAAATCAACAAATTATAAAATGACATTACTACTTTTTCAGGTGGATTCATGGGACAAAAATTTACAGAATTAACAAAAAATTGCCCTCGAGTTGCTTCACTTGTTTTATGCAACTCTTTTACCGATACAGCTATATTTGAATATCATGATTCAGCAGCCTTATTTTGGCTTCTACCCTCTTTGGTACTAAAGAGAATGTTGATGGGAAATTTCACAGTTGAGAAAGTGGATAAAAGAATAGCAGAATCAGTGGACTTCATGGTGGAAAGAGTAAGCTAAGCTATATAATATATTTTTTATTTTTTTTGTTATAAATGATGGTAATAACATTTTGTTATTTTTTAAAGATTATTAGTTATTGTAGGGTTTTAGTATTTATCATTTTAGTCACATCAGTACTTACTAAATATTATGAAATCTACTTATATAGTTATATCTTTTTTAGCTGGAATCTCTAACACAATCTGAATTAGCATCAAGACTAACTCTCAACTGTACTCCATGTTATGTAACACCACAAGCATTAAGTGATTTGCCTATCACAATAATGGATGTTTGGGATGAAAGTGCCTTAAGTGCAAGAGTTCGTGAAGATCTATACAAGTCATATCCACAAGCTAAGCTTGCCCATTTAAAAAGTGGTGGCAATTTCCCATATTTAAGTAGAAGTGATGAAGTCAACTTGCACTTATTGGTAAGCAAATTTTAATTTATATTAAAACCTCTAGGTAAATTCTATTGTTAACTGTAACGCCGGCGTGTCCGCGGTCGTAAAAGGATTAATAAGCAGAGAGTGCTAATTTTGAATTTTAGTTTACCATTTCACTACCAACAAAGGTTACAAAAATCCAGTCATTATATTTATGTTTTCATGCTTTATAATGATTCCGCATACAAAATTTCATACCCCGTTTCACTCTTAAAGGATGATTTCTGGGATAAAAACTACTATGTCCTTCCTAGGGTCTCAAACTATTTTCATACCAAACTGGATGAACTAAAAATTCAATAGATTTTTAGTTTATCCATTACAAACAAATGAAGATACAAAAAACACAATTTTTTATTTTTATAATAATATAGTATAGATTAGCAGGAGATAGTTACTGATAGTATACATTTGTATTTCAGATACATTTACGACAATTTGATAGCACTGACCTGAGAGCTTCCTATCTTACACTTCACAAATTATCTTGTCAACAAGGTACATCTGAAGAAGGCTCAGTCAGCTATTTTAATCAAAGTGATAAATTTGTTAAGATTTCATGAAATAACTGTTAATTCTGACATTCCTAATATAAAAAGACTTTGGTACTATATGTATCTGTACATACATATATTGAATCTAATATTTGAGGTTGTTATATTACTTTATTTGGAGCAATATGGTTTGTAAAATTAAGCTTAGATAAGTATTTAGAAGTGCATCGAATTTAATAGACTGTTAAAATTGGCTAGATTATAAGCATTTTTTACTTGTTTCAATAAACTTTATATGTTATATAATATAGGTTTTATATGACTACAAATAAATTGATTGAATCATTTAAGTGTTATTTATTAACAGCATAACTCTACTTAACAATTTTATTTCTCTTTTTCTATAGAATGCTCTTTTTCTTTTTGAGTTTGTAATGCTTTTTCTCTCTCTTCATCATCTGAGTAGTATTCCGCCAAGTCTTCAGCGGGTATAGGTTGACCAGCAATTGTTGTGCCTTTTTCATTAAGTGTATTTAGTTTAAACAGTGGATCATCATACATTATTTCAGGAACTATTGCATCCCCATGACTTTGTTTATTATGTGCCGTTACTGCAGAATATATGGACATAGCCTGAAGAAAAAAACAAATATATGATTTCATACTAAATTATAATCAAAATTTTCACAGAATCATAATGAAGCCTGGTAATTTTAAATTAGGTTTTGTTTTATAATTTTTATTTACATTTCCAATGAAATGGACTTACAATAGGTTTGTATTCTTGAAGAAGAATTTGACAGAGTAGAGGGTTAAAGAATACAAAAAGATGTTTTATAGTTAATAGCTATTATTATTAATTTTTATTTTTAGGTAAAATTTACCCCTTGAGAAAAAAACTCTTTAGTAAGATAGCAAATATTTTTTTTATAAAAAACCCATTAGTGGAAACTATTCCATATATTATTGTACAACAAAAAAAAATCAATGTGATCCTATGATGTTCAATGTATTTAATAATAATAAACTTACCTGAGCAACCAAATTTGACACATCTCCTGCATTGGCAGGCAAAATAAGTGTATTGTTAGTTCGAGCTAATTTGTTGAATGCAGCCACATATTGTTCTGCAAGAGTTAGGGATGCGGCGTGTTTGTTATCCTGAAAAAGCAATCATTATATTTTTTTATATTAAAATCTGTTTCATTAATAGTGTCTTAAAGAAACAAAGCATTTTTTATGTCAATTGCCACACTTTTCACCTCTTTTAGAGTTAGGATTTAAAAATATCCTCTTAGTGGTTTTTTATATGGTTATTGGAATTAGCTGCCAATATGTATTATAAAAAAAAATTGACCTTCCGACCTTAGGTGTGGTTGGGTCATAGATCATGCATGAGTAAGAAAAAGTAACTTTATTTATTTGATACAACAACCATCATCTTCAAATATGGTTCCACAAGTTAAATTAATGAAACACATAGATAATACTACCTGATGAGCGAGAGCACCACCAATGAGCTTGAGCCCAAGTGCACGTGCTTCGGCCACTGCTAACATTGCCTGGGCTTCACCAGACGCCTTGTTTATCTGCTCTTGTTTCTCTGCCTCTGTTATTATTTAATTTAAATTAAATAATACAAAATATTAACAAAAACGAAAATAAATTAACATATAATGTAAAAATATGATATAAGTTTTACCTGATGCTAATATTCTAGCTTGACGCTTTCCTTCAGCAACATTAATATCTGCCGCACGAACACCTTCAGATTCTAATATGGCTGCTCTTTTTCTCCGTTCTGCTTCTACTTGCATTTGCATAGCTTCATGTATTCTAGTTGGTAGTTTAATATCACCTGCAAGGAATTGATATAATGTACATATATTTCTTTTAAAAATCGGCCCTTAAATGTATCAGCCCTTACATAGGCCCCGTTTTGGCATGATTAAATAACGAACATCCATCTATCCAAACATTTGCATTTATAATATTAATGTGATTTATCACAATTATAGTATTTATATTTGGCATGGTACTGGTGACTTGTATTGGAAATTGATAGATTCCATATGTATTGGAAAGTGATAACATTCAATCAATTTTAACAATAAACATTTTGATCTGTATAAGTATAATATTATGTTGTTTGTGCCAGTGAGAAATTAAAGGTACTTGATTACTTACGAATTTCATATCTCAAGCAAGTGATACCCCAAGCTTCACTTGCTTTGTTTATGGCATGGACTATCGAAACATTTAGAGATTCTCTTTCTCTAAACACTTTATCCAGGGAGATTTGCCCCAATTCTGATCTCATAGTTGTTTGTGCTAGTTGTGTTATTGCAAATTCTGGATCTTCAACCCCATATGAAGCTGTTAAATTTTAAGGAATTATATATTTATACACCTCACGGTTAATTTCTAAGAAATTAATTGTTAACCGAGCCACCCGTGGCTTGGCGGTTGTTGACAGGTTAAAAAAAAAATACAACATAACACTTAATTCATAATAAATATTAAGGTTATAAAATGTGTACTATTGTATTACTTACTAAAAACTAAAAATTAACTTATTAAGGTATTATCATATGCATACACATAAACAAAATATTAAAAAAGAAAATAATATAAGTACATTATATACATACCCAGGTATGGATCAATAATTCTTAAATACAATACACCATCAATGCTAAGAGTTACATTATCTGATGTTATAGCACTTTGTTTAGGGACATCTATGGCTATTTCTTTAAGGCTTTGCACATATTTAATCTTATCTACTATAGGCCATAACAGATTTAACCCAGGTTCTAATATTCTGTGAAATTTTCCCATTCGTTCCACAATCCATGCCTGCAATTTCAATTACAATGGTAAAGGCACATATAATATTATTTACTTCCAGTGAAAATACTAAAACTGTGAAACGATTAGCTAATTGAATTCTATAAATATAGATAATTTAATAATTGTAGCTTAAGAAGTATTTTTTATAAAAATAACTTATTGAAAATTTACTAACCTCTTGTTGAGGGACAAACATTATGATTGTATTTAAGGGAGATGTCGACCGACATCTTACAGTTGTAATTCCATATAGTAAACGAGCTTCATTCTTGTATTCGACTTTGAAAGCACCCTAAAAATCATGATATTACAAAACAATTGCACACGTTAAATTTTTCAAAATGTTTTTTAAAAATAATAAATACTTTTAAAGGAAGAACCCTAGACAAGAGGTATCTGGAGCGTGAAAACATTTTTTCTGTTATTGTTAACTAATATCAATAAAAATTAAATAAAATCAATATAACCCATTCTTTTCGCTAAACCAACTATCCGCAATACACCTATACATATAGTGACAGCAGACGTCAGTGTCATTCATACACAAACCAACTTCCAAGGGGAAGATATCCGTAACAGAGAAGAATAAAATATAATATTTACATTAATATAATTTTACTCATAAATAAAATTAATTTAAAATAAAAAAATTGTATTTAATGGTTACATTACTATTCCCCGGAAGAAGTAAATATTATATTTTTTGATTGAATACCTATATTAATGCCATCTTGACATACGTTATCATTTGGAAACTTTCTATATAATAACCATGGATGATAATAACACATTATAACAGACTTATAAAAACTCATACAACTTCTAAATGTTTTCATTAATTTACTCATTCATTAAACTTAATAGAATATATATATGAATAAATCTGTGATTACCTTAGTCACAGTTAAGTTTGATCAATATATTTATTAAGTACGTATAAGTTAGTGTTTACGACCTGTTAGATTTTCTCAATTTTGAAATAATTAACAAATAAATTATAATGGATAAAATAAGTAATAATTCTACGAAGCAAAATGTTTACTTAAGTAAAAATAATAGTTGTATTTCTAAATTAAGAAGATTAAAAATTCAGGGAAATATTCTTTCAGCCAATTTAATAAACTCTTTTCGTAATGTAGTAGAATGTAATGTAAATATACATAATAACAATGACTCTGAAGTAAAAAAATATTTGACTTCGCTAAGGGACTCTTATGATGAAATAAAAAATTTATATGAAGATATAAAAGTTAAAACAAATTTCAATGAAGATTTAGAAAGATTTGGTTAGTTTTTGTTTTAAATATAAAAATAAAAATTTAATATTATACTTAATACACAACCGTAATTACGGTTCAGTTAATTTAATATTATAATCTTTCATTATTTTATATTTCAGACATGAATGAATTGAAGGCGGATATTTTGCAACTTGAATCTAAAATTAAAACTCTTAAAGAATTTTTAAGAAATGAACTAACAGTATTGCAGGCTAACGAGGAAACTTTGTTAGATACAGTATGTTTTCTTTTATTTTGTATTAGCTTTGTTTTTTAATTTGTTTTATTACTACTCATACTACATATATAATACTCATTTATTATACAGGTGAAAGAAAATGGGAAAGTAGATATTATGAAAAATGTTGGGAATAAAAAAAAACAAGCGAAACGTTATAACGAAATTGTACCAAGTCCTGTTCGTGCCATTATTAATTCTCCATTTAAATGTTCCGTAAGTTATTTTAAGAATAGTATTATTACAGTATAGTGGCAATTAGCAACTCGTCCTGGCTCACAGTGAACCGCTCACGCGGTTCACAATAGCATCGCATATTTATATAGCGTGCACCAGTGAATTAGTACTAGTTTTTACTTCTAATTATACAATCATTTAAACGCAAAGAGTTGGTAAAAGTAAGTTTTAGAAGATTTTACAAGATGCTTTGAAGTTGGACTACAGTACCTGAACATGATTCATAAATTATCGATCCTATGTGGATTACTTAGACAAAAAATAATATTATATGAACACAGTATTCTAGATATTCTATATAGATCGTGTTTATTTTGAACCAGCTATTTCTTATCGTGGCACTATGTACAAAGTAGCATTAATTACTGTTCTACAAAGACTATATCGATATCATTAAAAAACATTTACGTTTGTTTCACTATTCTTACATAGGAAGTACACCAATATCAAAATTTCCTGAAAAATAGTATAAACCGATATGGTGGCTGGAATGAGTATAATCACAATACATTCGTTCAAATTTGGAAGAAGTATTATAACGAAGTAACTGTTGAAACTAGCTCTATTGAACATTTGCCTCGTTTTGAAGAATTTAAGTTTGAAATCTTTCAAAACATTCCAGGTATTTATTTATTATTATTATGGCTAGCTAATAGCGGCGGCTTGTGCCTATGTAGAGACTGACATATCTATATCTAAATAATACGCGGTCCCACTAAGCATGATCTCCGTTTTATATGGGAGCGCGTAGAACTTAGAGCTCTTGGTGCTAGTTTTGGCTGATTAAAATAAAGTTAAAATTAGGTATAAATTCAATATTAATAAAATATAATACATTTGAAGATTTAATTGAAATCCATAAAGTCAAGTCATATTTTATAAGACTAGTATAAATTTGTCTGTTATTATCAGGAACTATGCCCGAAGATATTATTTCTCATAGTGAATGGTATCATCAATACATGTTTCTTAAAAGTCAACAACAAAATGCTATTAATAAATGGCAAGAGAATAAACGAAAAATTAAAAAGCGGGAGGTTAAAGTAAGTAATGTAATAAATTTTATGAATTATGTATTTAAATATTGAACCGTCTATAAGATTTGTTTTAGATTTACATAAATAAAGTTTAAGTAAAAGTAAGCTATAAATACCTATTTACAAGAGTTTAACAGACCTCGCAACCGCAGTAAATGCCACTTATCTACCATATAAATATTTTAAGTATTTTTTTTCGAGGACTCCGTCTTACGAGTTAGCAATTTTTATTTAAGCTCATCGTATGTATCATGTAACAAATAAAAAATTCCCTCTCTGTTCAGCCAGAAAAAGTAAATTTAGCAGTCGTTTCTACACCACTAACGGAAAAACTATGTAGAAGAAGCTTTAAAGATCTGAATAAAACAAGTGAGTATTTTAAAACAGTTACATAATTTTGTGAAAATTAAATTTATAAAACATTTATTTTCGTAATGTTTCATACTATTGTGTAATTTTTAAGCCTTTATCATGTGTGGGATTTACATGTAAATTCAAACATCTCAATTGTAGGACGTTATTAATATCATTTATCTATTAGATGGCTTCATTATCTTAAAGGATGTAAGTACTTATCTCCGTGGACAGGATGATAGTCATTGGACCATTAAATCATGATTTTCATCAAGTATCTTATATGTTTTTGTTATTTTACATTGAAATAAGTCATAAAACTACAAAATAAATATTTTTAATTAATAAATTTATTAATGGTTTAAATTTTAGAGAATACCGACCAATCTCAAATCTTAACACCGGATGGACTCAGGTAAAAATAATAGTTATACAATGTTATTAATATTTTTGTATAATTTATATCCTAAACGTTTTTGTATTTACAGTATGGATGAGCCTAAAAAATCACAGTTGTATTTATTGCAGCCGACTAAACAATGGCTAAATAGATGCCAAAGTAATAAAGTGATATCGGAAATAAATTTAAATATTGAGACAATATCAAAATTGTAAGTATATAGTACGACATGTTAACGGTTTGAATTAAAGCTTGTATTTGTTTTGGCTTATTTTATTTAAATGGAGTACGTGTATTCATTAAGAAAATAGAAACGAGTGTCTGACTGTTAATTTTAATTCAATTCTTTGTTATTTGGCTTTTATATGTAGTTTTATCATATAAAGTTTGTTACATTAAAACTAAAATAAAACATTTAATCATCTAAAATATTCATTTTACTAATAACCTTAGTAGGTACTAGTAGAAGTATATCTATGAAAATTAAAGTCAGTTTTGTGGCCGGACGCGTGGAACCGACACTATACCATATCTCAATAACCACTCAACGTGTCTTTATAAGTTTTGCTATGAAGTGAAAGTCTAATTTATTTAAATTCAGTTTTGCCACGGAACCTTACAAATTAAAAGTACGAGATAACATAAGCCTACATACTTCATGTGTAGTAAGCTTTTATCAAGAAACCTTTTATTTCTCAGACGAACTCCTTCTTGGCGTTTATCTCTTCAATGATATTATCATTCATCGTGTCATTAAAGAAAAAATTAGTTTAATTACAACTGGCAACTCTACAAAACAGTCAAAATTTCTTCCTACTTCCTAGTCTGTGGTCAAAAGTCAAAAATTAAAATTGCGAAATTGTGACATCCTTCACTCATCAGTGTTACTGTTTTTATCGAAATCTATGTGAAATCTTATAAATTCGAGATACTAAAATTCGATATTTTGCATAAATTATGAAAACAAACAAGTTTTCAAATTAATTGTAAACCAATTTTTAGTCATGTCAAAAACTCTTACTTAAGACTTATTTTGTATGATCATCTTAAAATTTTAGTGTTATATAACTTTCTCGTTAATAAACAAATAAGAATAAAACCAAAGTTATGTTAAGATACAGGTATTTATTTAAAAGGTTAATTTATATGAAGAAGACTTATAAATCAGCACCCATAACCCCTCAAACATGTTCTCTAAAGATAACAATTCCTTGTTCACTTGGATTTTCGATACTAACATTAATCGGATTTGAAAAAAGAAATAGTCTAGAAGACGAATTGATTTTAAAAATAAAGCATTGTGTACTGTTTATTCAAAGAAATGAATATGACAAAGCTGAACAACTTCTGCATGTCTCATTAAGACAGGCACAGCAAATGCAGCATTATTTGGGTATTACCTATATTTATGATGTAATGGCTAACTTAGCCCTTGAAAGGGGGGAGTATGACAAAGCTAAACAACTATTTGTGGCAGTTGCACAGAGAATTATGTCTGATGGAGCTAGTGAAGATGATATTCGTGTCATACACATAAGTGTTAAGTTAGCAAGGATAAGTCATATGATGAAAGAATACACAACAGCCCAGCTAGGCTTTGATTGGTGTTTGGAGAAACTTGGTAATATATTATCAAAAGATCCTTCTGAGGCAAATAAAAAGCTCATAGCAATGGCTGAAGATTGGTATGGTCGTTTATTTATAGATTGTGGTAAACCTGAATTAGGTTTGACTTATATGAAAAATGCTTATGACAAAATGACAAATATCCCAGATTTAGAACAAGAGCATTTAGTGATACAGTTAAATGATATGGGTACTGTGTATGACACATTAGGTAAAGTTGATGAGAGTATAGATTATTTTACAAAAGCTATAGATCTTGGTAAGAAAATTCCAGATATGCCTGATTTAGGTGCAATGTATGTAAACTTAGGAAGAGCATATATGAAGAAAAATTTACTTGATATAGCTAGAAAGACTTGTGGATTTGCATGGAGACTTGGAGTTCAAGCAAAAAATAATGATGTCAAACAAGAGGCAGAACTTTGTATCAAAGAAATAAAAAACTTGTCATAAATATATAGTTTTATTTTTATAACTGTAAATTATTGCTTGTGATAACATGATACCATTGCATGTACACTTAATCTGTTTCGGTATATACCCTGTGTTATATATAACAGAAATGTAATATCTTTAATGGAGTTAGTAGGTATATGGTTATTTTGATCATACATAAAGTGAACTTATTTATAAATGCATTTTAAAACAATGTTTTATCTGTACATTTGATTAAAAATTATAATTAATTTATTGAGCACTATCTTTTGTGACACTGAATGGTTCTGTAACAATTTCAACATGAGTGTCTGTAATGACAACATCCTTTGTTGGTCGGTCATTGGCTCCAGTGGGTGACTTCTCAATAGTACGAACTACATCCTGCAAAACATATAAATTGATTATACTTACAGCTTGTTTGTAGGAATTAAGTATTTTATTGTCAATAAGATTCAAATATCTTTTTCCATAAATATGTCTACAGTTGCAAGTCTTTATTTTTCAAATATTTTGTATAATCTGAGCACAGAAATTAGAATTTTTTATATCATTAACAAATGATTTTATAAAATTCAAAACTGAATGAATTTATTTCATCAGCAATATAACCATTAAATAATGTACATACCATCCCCTCAAGTACTTTGCCAAAAACAACATGTCTGCCATCAAGCCATGGAGTTTTAGTTGTGGTAATGAAAAATTGAGATCCATTGGTATCTTTTCCAGCATTAGCCATGGACAACCAACCAGCACCATAGTGACTTAGCTTAAAGTTCTCATCTTCAAAACGGTCACCATAGATGCTGAGACCTATAAAACCACATAAAATTTATTTAGAAAATATTTATTCCTTAATTAAAGTAATTCAAACTGAGAATTTAATTTCTCTCAAAACTTTACACAATTAGATGGTAAATTGGCACATGCAAAATATAAAGTTCATTGCTTCTTTAATTGGAAGATATTTATTGCTAGCCAGCAATTCACTAAATTGCCAATTATTTACACTTGAATGGTTCTGTAGTTTAAAGAAGTATATTTCTTCTAAGTAGTGCTATAAAACATAAATAATTGAATTGTAATTACCACCAGTGCCATCTCCTTTAGTAAAGTCTCCACCTTGAATCATGAAGTTCTCAATGACTCTGTGGAATTTGCTACCCTTATAACCTTCACCTTCTGGTTTTTGACATAGTTGGTAGAAATTTTCCACAGTTTTTGGTACAGTCTTACCAAAAAGTCCGATAACTACAGTGCCAACTGGCTTATTACCAATGCTTATATCAAATTTGACCTGCATGCAAAATTATTCGTAAATTAAAGTTGCTAAAAATAATTAATATTTCAAACACATACATGGATAATATGAATGTAAATTTGCGTAACTGTAAAAGTCCTATTAAATATTGAAGACTAAAAAAATTCAATATACGATTGCAGATGATTCTTTTGTGCTCCGAACAAAGAATTCGTAAACTAAAATTTGGTAGTCAAGATCACAAGGTCATCGACCTTATCAAGCTTATATCCGGATATGCTTTGAAAAGTTTTAAAAGTTGTTTTATGTAATAAATCAACTGAATAACTGCTGATTTATATTTTTATAATTCTAATACATGTGGGTTTAACTTTACACTTTACCTTGTGGGTAACCTTAGGTCCCTTGGGAGCGTCTGCCGACCAAGCGGTAGATACAATAAAAAGAATACCAAGTGCTGTCGCAAGAATACCCATGATTATAATTAATTTAGTCTTTTTTCTAGTAATTTTTACTATTATATTTTCACTGTGTGGAAGAATAAATTAAAGGTAAACCCTAAACAATACCGGCACCGGTAAAACTTCGCAAAAAATGTCCTAACTTTTAGTCCACTCAAATGAGACACGTCAGAGATGACTTTAAAGATTATAAAAACCAGTAACCAACCACAGTCGTGAGTCGACACTCGACACTCGACAGAACTCAGCAGTGTTGCCATATAACAGTGGTTGCTTTACCGGCCATAACAATAAACCTCAAAATATTGGTTTATTCCGGCGGCACCAACCATGAGCAATATACCCGAAAATAATTTTCTTAATTAATAAAATAAATAAATCAATAAAAATTATCTAGTAAATGGGGAAGATTTCTTAAAGGAGGGCGCTACTCGTATGATCTATGTACTTTCTGTCTGAGAGCAATCTATGATATCTCTTTTATACCTGGGTTTTTTTTGCTTCTATTTTGTTCGCATTATACCTGTGCAAAATACCTGGAAGTTAGACCAGCTGAAGGATGAATTGACTAATATAAAAATTATACTGATTATGACTGTAAAGATTGATAAGTATAAAAAGAAATAGACTCTCCTTATTTTTTTATATGAAAGTTATGGTATCTTTAAATAGTTTTTATACATTGTATGAATTAACTTATTTATATTAAACTTATTTAAAAAAGTAATTGAATGTTTTTATTCATTTCTACATCCTTAAATAAAGTAATAATAAAGGTTTATTCTATTTTTAGCTTATTACATGGTGTCGACTATAATATACAGATTATAGAAATGTGTTACTTGTAATTTGACTCTGTCTGTGCTAATATACAAAGACAACAAAAAAAAAATTGGAAACCGAAAAGCAAACTGCGGAGGATTGAAGTGATGTAGTCAGGCGTTTGTTGTTGTAATTTATATTGTGTCGTAATTTTTAAATTAAATTAGAAAGTGACACGATAATAAGACCCAGTAAAAAATTGTGTTTTTATAATGCGACGTCAAAGCTGTCGTTATGAAGCATTAACTAATTCGATTACATTAGCAAAGTTATGATTCTCTTCCACGAATCTTGAAATAATTTCAGAACTATAAATGGCAAAAAATTAAAACATTTAAAAAATGGATGGAATAAATGGATCAGATTTACCGCCCGTTAAGGAGGAGACGTTTTGTAAATACGTCTTATATTATGAAATGAATAACTCAAGGTAACTAGAGTCTGTTGCCTTTGTGAGTAGATAACTTATGTTTTTGTTTTCATATTGTTGTTTTTCTTGCAGTGTTCGTATATGGGATCTAATAATATTAATACCCAACGCCCTATTCGTGCTGTTCCTAGTGGTAAGATTCAACAAGGCACAGTTGAAGTTGAGAGCAACGAGTAGTCCAATATTTTTAACATTTTACTCGCTTGTATGGGGCAATGTAATCATCAGCTTGATACGATGTGCTGTCTCAATGACCTTAAATGCAGCAGTGCCGGTTGGTGGGCTTGTTGACAAAGTGTTGTGGGTCACAGTGCGGTTTTTTTTACTCGCTACAGAATTGAGTGTAGTTATATTTGGTTTGGCTTTTGGTAAGTTATTTGAAGGCACTAACATTATTTGTATCTATTACACATATATATTTATAGCATTTAAATTTTAATACAGTATTCAATTTTTTAAAATACAAGATAAAATAATTTAAATTCACTGGCATTATTTATTTCCTTTTAAATACTACTAAAAAATAGAAGGAACAGATTATTGAGGAGTAATTGTCTTACATTTTTTATTAAGCACCATAATAATTCTAAATCTTAATTTTTACTACTATGAATTTAAATGCAATTTATGTTATAGTTTTTCTAATTATTTTAGGTCATATGGACAGTCGTAGCAGCATCAGATATGTACTTTTGGCAACATCTCTTATTTCCCTTGCTTTTACGGTAACTCAAGGAACACTGGAGTTGATGATGCCTAATGACCTGTTTCATGTAGACAATGGGGAGTATTACTTGTTTGGTCATGGTGGAATGTTGTTTTGGTTCATATCATCACTAGTATTTGCCGTTATATATTTCATAATACTATTATTGCCTTGGATACCATTAAGGGAATATTTGGCTTTACCAAGTAAGTTTGTATTTTTAACACACATTCTATTAACATTTTAATTTTTATACTGTTAAAAAACTTTGTATATTTGATTTACAGCTTGTAGATACTATAAAATATATTGAACATCATAAAACTAATTATACAATGAAATTTAATTGATAAAATATCTCATTTTATTATACACTAGAGAATCACCCTCGCTTCGCTCGGGTTCGTCCCTGGCTTGCTTCCCAATACAAAATTTCATCCCTATTTTCACCTCCTTTAGGTATGATTTCCTGGATAAAAATTCATATATTCTTCCCAGGGTCTCAAAATATCTTACCAAATTTCCTCTAAATCGGTTTAGTAGATTCAGAATTAACCCCCAACGATGTCACAAACTCATTAACTCACAACCTGACAAACTCACAACCTGACACTCACAAACTGGCCCTTTTTGTAATATTATAGTATAGAAGACTGGCAAAAGTTAATGAATACATCACTAAATATTTTAAGCAACTTTATATAGTTAATCTTGACAAAAAATATATAATTTAAGGTTAAGGAGTTATTGTTGTCTCTTGTCTTGTTGGATTTAATTTTTCAATTACAGCTCAAATATCCCTTAATGCTACACATTTGAAAAAAAAATTAGTATGTAGCTTTACAATTATATTATAATAATTGATAGTTGATTTTAACCAAAATATAAAAAATACAATTGAAATATTTTAATATTGAATATATATATATTTTTTAAATGTTCATGCTCTATGAAAACTAGTGTCTAATGGCTTTAGATGACTCAAGATGTAGATAATAGTTAAGTCACAATAACAAAAAAGTGGCAATTTCAAAGCAAGAATGAGTTCAGTTAGAGGTAAATGTGTTTCATGGCCTTAATTGTAAAGATACGATTTGTTCCACCTTTCCCTTGGCTAGAATTTGTTGTCTTTTTACCCGACTGTGATGAAGCCCGAAGGCGAAGTAATAATATATTTTATGTATATTTTTATGATAATATTATTGTCAAATAACAAATTCAATAAAATGATAAATTAAAATTATTTTAATTAAGTTGAAGCTGCCTTAATTTTATTGACAAAACAATTTTTGTGAAATAAAACAAATGGTAAATCACAATAACTATAATCTTTGAGATTTCAATGAATCCAGAAGTGTTATACATACATATATATGTTTTTCAAAAAAGAATATCATTATAATAACTCATAGAAGATATAAAACATGTTATAAATTTTTATTATTCATAAAAAATGTATTATACAAATTATTATATTTATAATGTTCATAAAATTGTTTTGTTATTATTCTCTTACATAAGCAGTAAATCATATAAACTTGATGCCATACTGCTTACTAAGGTTACATAATGTGAATATTGTAGTGTTATTTATGTTCTTGTACATACTATTTACATCTAAATATATAATAAAATTGTATCTAAGCCGAATCTGTACATTAAATATTTTTTGGAAAATCTTATTGAAAAAAAAATTATTATAGATACTGAGACTGAATCTAAAGTTTTTAGAATTTTTGTCTATCTGTTACCGCATCACAGAAAAACCACTGGAGGGATTTTGATGAAAATTGGTATGGTGATAGGTGGTTATCCGGGAAACATATAGGATACTTTTTACCGCGGGAAAATATCTCATTACTGAGAAAAAATACAAGAACTGCATTGTAAGAGTATACTAATATGTAAAACTTAATAATTTGGTTTTTGGTCATCTGAACGCGGGTAGAGCCGCGGGCAATGCTAGTGTATCTATAAGTCATTTATTACTGTTTTATATAAAAAGGTTTAGAATTGAATAATTTAGAAACAAACTTAAAATAACATCCAACCAGTTCCCAAGAGATCCATACTAATATTATAAATGTGAAAGTGTTTGTTTGTTTATTTGTTTGTTTGTTAGTTTATGTGTTTGTTTGTTTTTTGTTTGTCTTTCTTTCACGTCGAAACGGCGTGATTTTTTGTGTGGAGATAGTTGGAGGGCTGGAAAGTGACATAGGCGTCTTTTTACTGCGGGAAATTATCTAATTCCCACGGGAAAACACGTTATAATACAACTAAAAAAATATTTATGATTAGAATTATTTGAAACTTGGTATTAATATTTTTCAATACTATTAAATAAATACGTGTTTCAGCATTTTTTTGAAATTCATCCCATAAGGGGGTAAAATAGGGGATGAAAGTTTGTATGAAACCTACCTTTTTAGTTTTTTTTTGAAGTTTTAGCGCGAGCGAAGCCGCGGGTTTTGGTAGTATTTAATAAAAAAACGATTGAATTCTTTTGATATGGCTTATAAACATCCTTAAAAAAATTATCAGAAAGGATTTAATGTACAATTAAAACCTCCTAACAAAATTCAATACATATATGCCTATTGCATACAGTCAAATGTCAAAAATGTCTGGTGAACATGTTGCTATATTGTTCAAAGTTGAAATACCTAGATTTTTCCGAATCTTTTATTGTACACGTTAATATGTATTAAAAAATCATACAGGTTGTTTGAGTATAACTTTACAATCGTTTTGTTCTTTTTTTAAAAAAATTTATAAGTTACTTGTGCTTTTTTGCTGTTATATGTACTTCCATATAAAACGGGTGTTACGTTTAGTGTTTCTTTTTCTTATTTTTTTTTACCGATCTCAAAAAGGAGGCAGTACTCCATTCGGGTGTGTAAGACTAATTATTATTAAATTGATTTTAAAATTTGTATACCATTTTGTTAAAAGTGATCATTTCAAATGTCTTAATTTTCAGCACTGCTTTAAAATAAATATTTTAGCCATTAAGTACAATAAAATACTCGTATTTAAAGTTAACGAATAATTTGTTAGTATTGAGAAACCTTTTAATAAAGGATTAATATCACCCTCCAGTCTCAAATTGTAAATGTTGTAGACGGATTAACTAAAACAAATTTATACATATAGACATATTTAAAACTGCTATTTCTACTTACAACGAAACGAAAGGAAATTGCGAAAATGTGTGCTAAATAGGCTTTCTAATGTTATGTAATATACAGTATACGATTTAAGTACATAATATTCAGTAGGTACTGACCACGAGATATTATATAAAATATTTTTATTACATGATTATCTCGGTTGCATAAACACTAATTTAGCTATGTTTTTAATTGAAATTTTCTGCATATTATAAAGTCTCATTGGAATCGGTCCAGCAGGTGTAGAAGCATGCACAAACAAAAAAATTGATAGCGCAGCGTCAAAAAATCTGAGTTAATAATATGTTCTTCCGAAAATTCATATGTTTTTAAAGCAATATTGCTGTTAATTCAACCGCTAATGTTTTATTCAAATAGATGGTATAAATAGGATAATTAAGTACAAGCCATTTGGAACAGTGGTGGAGAATTTATTGCCGCTTATGTAGGTATAGTACGTACCTAATATGACGTTGCAACAAAATGTGGTCGGAGTCATATTTTCTTTATGTAATATCATTTTATTATATCATATTTGACTGATATTTCCTCTTGCATCTAAATCTAAAGTTTTCACGAGTTTCACGAGTTTGATCCCCATTATTGTATTGTGGTTGTACCGTGGTCGGACACATAGTCGGAAATCTAATTATGGACTTTTACACATTATTATATGATTAGATACCAAAACCAAAATATAGAATCAAATAATAATACTTTTAACTGCAATGAGGATACCGAATTCATTATCACGTGTAAGCAATTTTCCAATCCTTGGGGTGGTTTTTTTAATATAATATATGGGAACAGCACTTGAAGTATAATAAAACAAAAAAAATAATAAACTAGCAAAAGCCGCGGCTTCGCTCGCGCTAAAACTACAAAAATCTCTAAAAAGGTAGTTTTCATATAAACTTTCATGCCTATTTTACCCCATTATGGGATGAATTTCGAAAGATGCTAAAACACGTATTTATTTAATTGTATTGAAGAGCATTAATACCAAGTTTCAAGTAATTCTGATCATAAATATTTTTTTAGGTTGTATTATAACGTGTTTTCCCGTGGGAATAAGATAATCTCCCGCAATAACAGGTAGCCTATATCACTCTCCAGCCCTCCAACTATCTCCACACAAAAAATTACGCCAATCCGTCATTACGTTCCTAAGTGCCAGAAGGATAAACAAATAAACACACTTTCACATTTATAACATTAGTATGGATTACAGCCGAATTAACCTCCTCTTTTTGAAGTTCGTCAAAAACTAATAGAGTATTACAATCATTTAAAATATTAAAATTATGTATTTCTTTTATATCTTTATATATATAATTCTTCTGTGAGTGTGTATGTCACTGAACTTCTCTCAAACGACTGGACCGATTTTGATGAAATTTTTTGTGTGTGTTCAAGGGGATCTGGGAATGGTTTAGATTCACAATTTGAATAATAATTTTCATCAAAATGGTCCAGAATGTTTTAGCTTATTAAAAAAAGTTAGAAATTTTCAAATTAAAGACGTGTAGACAGGACAACGTCTGTCGGGTCCGCTAGTTTAATATAAATTAGTGAATTTTCGTTTAATTCATCGATTAGTTGGTCTTTCTACCTAAATTCTACTGTGACATTAAAACCTATTAATATAGTAGTTTCGAAAATTTGTAAGTGTTTGGCTGTTTGTAATTACAAGTAAACTCTTTAAAAGTTTTGAAGGAAAGTCACGCAAATAGACTATATAATATTTGATTGACATTTTAGCTCGGTAATGAGTTACCTTGAGATAATAATGTTATTTTAACGTTTTACTTCTCAGCCTATCTCTAATATACCATACTGCACAAGTCGGGTGAAATTAAATTAGAATAATCATGGTTTGTGATACAAAAAAATCAATCCAATTTAAAAAAAATCCTTTTGTTTTAGCGAAATTGTCCTTCTACCTATACGTATTACTTCTCGCGCTACTCGACACGACGCAGGCGGTGGGCGCGGGCCTGCTCACGTGGGGCTCGATGCCGTCGGGGCTCTGCGTAGTCGACGTGACCACGTGGCTATACTTCTCCTTATACACACCGCTAGTTTATCACACTTTTCTGAGTGAATTCTTCAGGTAAGATATGTTTGTGATTTGTTCGTATTATGATTTACTTAATAGCTGATCTTCGCGTGATATTACGTAAATTCTCAGAAGGTACGATTTTTTCTCTTTCTTTCTGATCTTTTTATAATCTTATAAATCAGCCTCTTTTACTAGTGAAATTTGTATAAAAATACCTACAGTAGGTAATTTCTCGGTTTCGCCGGAACAAACACAACTCAGCGTGGCGAGGAATTTTCATTTATAAATTATATGTTTAGTAAGGTCTAGTTAGTGGCTGTGAAATTCTCAGTCTTGGGTTCGAGTCCCGGATAAGGAATAAATGTCAAGATATTGTAATTTGTAATAGGTTGGAGTTGTGGAAGATGGTTCTGTTTGAACCCCATGTATACGCAAATCATAACAAAGTCTTTAGTCGTTATCAGTTGTCTGATCACTCAGTCTCAACCGCTGTCCCACAGGACTTTGAGAGCGATTGGAAAAAAGAGTGCACTTTTAGTTGCGCACACATCTAATGGGACTGTTAAGTGCGAAGCATTAAATGGTATTTAAGTATCCTACGAATATTATAAACGCGAAAGTTTGTAAGAATGTATGTATGGATGTAAGCATGTATGTTTGTTACTCTTTCATGGAAAAACGACTGAATGGATATTGATGAAACTTTGCAATAATATTGCTCATACATCAGAATAAAACATAGGTTACTTTTTATCCCGGAAAAATTACGGTTCCTGTGGGTTAGATTTGTTTTCTTATAATATCATAATGTTAATTTCTGTTCGAAGTGAATCAACAGCGAAACTTATTTTTATAGTGTTTATGGGTGTGGATTAATTATAAGTAAAATTGAATAGGTACAATACACAAGGTTAAATTTTATAAATGTACGGACGTAGACGTACCTACTATATAATGTAGCAACAATGAAAAGCAGTATAAAGAAAACAGGAAAAATGTTACTGATTATATCATAAATCCTAATGACACATACTTCATATTTAAATTAATGCCACTGCCTCGGTGGTGTAGTTGCTAGCATGTACGGCTGCACACTCGGAGGTCCTGGGTTCGAGTCCCGGGTCGGGCCAAGTTTAGTTATTGAGTCTTCTGTATAGTAAGTCTCAGTAACAGCCCGGAGTTGGGAAGTTGGCGGTGTTTCAACCCCGTGCCTCGGAGAGCACGTAAAGCCGTCGGTCCTGCGCCTTAACTCTCACCGGTCGTGTCGAGTGGTCGTCCACCAGAGTATGAGAGTGACAGGAATAGAGAGTGCACGTTGTGTCTGCGCGTACACTTGTGCACTTTAATATCTCCTGCGCAGTTGGCTAGTCTCAATGAGATTGGCCGCCGTGACTGGAATCGGCCAGGAGAACATCATCTTCATTTAAATGCCCCGTTTATTAGTTATAACTATTCCGATTTCCGCCTTAGAAATAAAAAACCGAGTAAGGATTCTTAAGGCAAAACAGAAAATATTTTTGTGATAATCCAGTCCTAAATACGTTAAAAATGTTAAAAAATACCGTGTTTGTCATTAACGGTAAAACTGTTGTCATAACGGTTAAAAATTATCCTTATCTAAAATTTTAAACAAATACGCGCGTGTTTATTATATAAATTATTTTATTTATAATTTGCATTCTGTTGTAAATTGCTTTATTTACACATGGATGGAATTTGGCAGTACTTCAGTTCACATGGTATTAAATCTATTTTGTATCAATTTATTCATATTCGTTAGGTACGTGCCAACTGTGAATAATATTTTTTTACGTATATATAACTAGCGACTTGCTCTCGCTTCGCTCGGGCGCGTCCCTAAAGTTGAATGAATAAAATTGAATTGGCACCAGGAACTTTCGCAGGCGTGTACCAGAATAACCAGAGTTTCATTACAATCGGATCAATTGTTCAGAAATGCATACAAATTCAAACCTACGAACATTCATTTTTATTTATATATTATATATATATATATATATATATATATATATATAATATATATATATATATATATATATATATATATATATATATATATATATATATATATATATATATAGATAATACTTTTTATCTTTGTGCTCTAATATTTAGTACTAGTATTAAACCTTGACTTATTTCTTATGAAATGTGGACGATTGTGTAGTGTTAGTATGTACTAAGATCGCATGCCTACCTGATAACTTGGTGAGACGGCCAATTTCCAGGTATCAGGTAATCAAGGTACCTCAAAACATTACTTACCTCACGTACATTCTCCAAGCTGATTATCACGTATATTTTAGACAATATCGTTAAAAATATGTCGTCAATACTCCCAGACACTTTCCGTCGCCCGTATTGCTTTGCAGACGCTTTAAAGGTCCCAAAATAATTACTTAACTTCACGTAAATTCTGATGCTCCATGTTTATATATGTTCGCCAGACAACTATTTTAAAACCTTTTACAAGAAGACAGACCAATCCAAGGGACCAATCACCCCCTAAACTTAATTTTCCTACGCAGAGAGGCATTAAAATTGTTCGTCAGAAAATACGTGACGTCTGGCGGCCCTGGGATCTTGGACTAAAACGAAAGAGTTCATATTTGTCACTGTTAAGACGCATATAAATGCGAAAGTTAGTGAGTAAGGGTATGTGTTAATTCACATTCGTCTCATCTCAACAATCTCAGTACTTCAAGCAGCATTGTAGCGTTTCAATCGATTTAAAAAGTACCTAGAAACCAATAGCCACTGCACACGACTTATAAAGCTCCGTCGTTATAATCCAGGTTTAACATATTATAGGCTACTTTGTGTTGTACACTTTGTGTTTACAAGAGCAAAGCCGTTGGAAAAAACTAGGCGTATTTACATCATTGCATGTTAAAAAATCTTTAAAAAATAACCTCTTGTATACTTTTGAGAGAAAAATATTAACGCTATGTTCGTATTATTAAGAATAGACTTTTTTTGTCCAGTCTCTTGAATGTAAGTGCCATTCGCAATCGACGGTTCAGTGGTTTGACCGTAAAAGCGTAACAGCCTTCTTCAAATACAAATGAAACTAAATTTTGTCTCGCAATCGTCATAGTACCATGTACTATTTATATTTTAATATTAATATATGTGTCTTATCAGTATATGTTTTATTTTAATATATGCTCAAAATATATAAGGAAAAGTTTAACGTTTTGGGGTTATCGTAATAAAAAATATCACACTTCAAAGTAGCTGAGATGATAAAAATAATATATTTTAATGTTTTATGATAATAACACTGATTTCATTTAACATCACTTACACACATTTTAAACACTTTGGACATTTTAGAGAGGAGAGGTACTTCTAAAGTTTAAATGGGCTTTACCTTTGTGGCCTTACCAACTATGTGACATTTTCTTTTTTGTTCTGTACTTGTACAATAAAACACGTATTTCTGGATAGAAGACACTTAGAAAAAAGTAATATCACGCTCTAAAGTGTCACATTTAACCTAGATAGGTTAGGATTGAGGGCAAATTTTTCGATGAAAACATTAAACGGCGATAATATGTAACGATTATGTGAGTCGGTGTGCTTTGCTTTGTATGGGCTGGCACCGATTTCGAAAATTTGATTAGGTATGTATTTAATAGGTAGGCTTTAATTACTTAGCCAAAGCACACCGACTTCGAAAATATTTGATTAGATATGTATATTAAATGAAAACTACCAGTCAGTTATTTTTTACTTTTTAGTGCTTTTGTTTGAAGTCGGTTTTTATTTTTTTGTTAAAAAGTTTTTATTTTTCCCTTTTTAGTGTAGACAGTAGTAGCAAAGTAACAATTCTAACGTGTTAGGCTTGTCAAATCAAACAAAATAAGCCCAAACTCAAAGTATCTACTATTAGCCGTTGAAGAGTTCCACCTATCCACCTTCTGGCCTTGCCATCAGATCAGGTCAACGACACCGAACCACTGTACTATCAACGGAAATAGAAATACTTGCAAAGTTTCAAGTCAATATGACAATTAGAAGTAGGTTAAATTCATCATTAATTGTTTTTCCACCCTTAGGGGTGGTATTTTTTTTTTGAAATTTAAATGGGACCAATCTGGAAGTATACCCTTTCAAACAAAACAAAAATTGTCCAAATCGGTTAATAAATGACGGAGTTCTGAGGTAACAAACATAGAAAAAAAATACAGTCGAATTGAGAACCTCCTCCTTTTTGAAGTCGGTTGAAAATAAGTGATCTTGTTTTTAAATACAGTGTTAATTGTAAACCAATTTCGCATATATATGATAGTAGCCATTTTTTTAATTAGACTACTATGCGAAACTTTATATGTTATGTGTACCTACATGTTTGTTACGCTGCAACGGCTGAACGAATTTGGATGAAAAGTGCATAGATGGATGTTCTGGAGTCATACACTTAAGAAACCATATTAGATACCTACGTTTTTCATTTGCTTTAAGTCAATCGATTCATATCTGTTTCATTGTGCGCCAGGTTTAAAAATATTGTAAAATAAGTAGGTACTGGAGTGAGTAATGCTAGTTTCCATAGAAAAATGTTTGAACTCTATCCATCAACTGTTGGTCTAGCGACCACCTGTCATCGTTTCGCTCAAGCCTTAAGCTTTCTTACGACTTAAGACGCACTTAAAAATATTTCAATACGTATAAATATTATTAATATCCCATGGGAACGTTTGGATGTACTAAAATAAAAGCGAACTTATGTATATAACACCTTATCGCATTTATAATATTAGTAACTAAGAATAGTATGACGATCTGTGCAATGTAATTTGAATTAATGTACATATTATTAATATTTTATTTATGTTTTAAAATTATGTAATATTGGCTGGCACTAATCAGAAGGAAAAGTTTAAAAGTAAATATTTGCATTCATAGTAATAGTTTAGTCTATCGGACTAAGACTTAAATCTTTTGTGATCAGAACCGTTGACTGACACGCATTGTTTATGTAACCAAGAGTGCAGAGAATGGATATTTGAAACAAAAGGAAAATGGCGTATATTTACTATACTTAGATGATTCATTATAACAGTACAAGACTTACATACCATACAAAAATATGTAACCATAATTTGGGCTTTTCTTTCGACAATTTTTATTTACTTAAAGGGACGATATTTGATATATAATTAGCGCATATTATGTTTGTGTTGAACATTTAAAAAAAATAGCAAAATGTAAAGGAAAACAAATTTCAGGGACTGACTTTTAATACCATGACAAACAACTCGCAAAATGTTACAGCGCCATCTATGAATATGCAGTACGGACTCATTACCTAATTTTCTACCGTATTTATATCTTATATATATTAAATGGGCAATTCTTTTATATATATGTATATAAATTTATTTCATGTATTTCGGAAACGGCTCTAATGATTTGGATCACATTGTGTATATAGATAAGGTTTTGCTTTTTAATTTTATCTATATAGGTGTCTTTTCTGAAAAAAAACGTGTAATGCAATCTCGTTAATTTTTGTGGCACCAACTTGCATTGTCGCTAATACACGATAAAATCATAGCCTACTTAACGAGCGTTTACGCAGAGTGAGGCTCGGTCGTCCCGTCTCATTGTCAGTAAAATTAGGAAAATTTGATTATAGAATAAGAACAGAAAAAAAATAGTTTTTGGTGCCATTCGGTAGTTCTGGGCCTAACTGAGGGTTGTAATCCTAAAATAAACAATGCTATAAAAGAACTACTTGAAAGTTTACTGCTCTCTATATAGACAAGTACATGAGGGATACTCGTATATGTAAATATGTTTGTATGTTACAGTGTATCACAACCAAGCATCATGTTCTCGTACAAGGCTCAGATGGACGAGCCGATGGACGACGACCAGGTGTCTCTGCCGCATCAACAGAGCTTCAGCTCGCTGAAAACTGACTCCGATTATATTTATCAGGTTCGTTCTCTATGTAGAAATGTTTGTTTTATGAAATCCTTTCTTTTTTTTTTTAACGTTGGGAAATGCATTTACGCACGACGTGTGGGACTCACCGGCGTAATAAAGCCAGTACTACCCACTAAAACCCAACAAAACCTTCCCCCGTCTTAATGGGGCGTCGCAGGATCGCTTACGCATTCAACTACGACGCCCCGACGGCAGGTCTGCCGAAGCAGACCACCACAACCATGGGGTTGCTCCAAGGTCCACTCTGCTATCAGAGAAGTACTAGGAGCAACCCGCAAGGTACACCGCCCCCCGAAGAGGGCCACCTCCCACCGCCCACCGAAGTGGGCAACCTCCCTGTGCGTTTCTTAGCTTCGCTACTACTACTGAGCCCCCCCACCACGACAAGGTGAACGCACGTTGGGGGGGTTGTTTTATGAAATCCTAGTTTAAGCCTACGGTTTTGCTGATGTGTGGTTTGACGATAAAAAGCGAGTCACTCTTAACAACTTTTGTATTTATATATTTATAGGGATAATATTAAATAGATTTTTCTAATTATTGTTATGATATTGCACTTAAAAATGGATTTAATTTTTGTAACTAAAGTAATAAGCCATTTTAACATAAGCTAAAGGGAAATATCATAGTTTTTAACACCTCCAGGTAAATTTCTAAGAAATTAATTAAATTTCTAAGGAATCTATTGTTAACTGTAACACCGGCGTGTCCGCGAGCGTTAAGGGATTATTTAATAATTAATATATCTGTAATAAAATATAACTTAATATTGCTTAGTATAAAGTATCACTTTTAATATAATCAAGTATATTGTTTCAGCAGAGCAATAGCGTATACGATAGTACACTATTCGAAGCTGGCGGGACGACCCCGATGAACCCAGTGTACAGTGCGTCCCTACAGAGTCCCGACTCGATAGCCTCGGGACAATCCCTAGACATTGGAACAACGGGATTCCCCCAAAATATGCTATCCACATAACAAACAGACATACAAATACAATATTTACATTAATTTCAATCATCCAAAGAAACGTTATCATTTAAGGGTTAGATTATATGCTTTTATTCTATTTAAGTGTCAAATAGTTCTATGAATTTGTTTTTTTTTTTCAGTTAACCAATTAGTCTAAGATCCCGATCTATGTGGTGGACTCCTCATTCTTTTTCCGGATGAAATATTTTTTTTTAAACCATAAAATATATTAACAAACACGACCCAGGCGGGTTGTTACCAAAAATTTGCTCCAAGCATTTTTTTACTAAAAAACCTCTTAGTCTGAAGATGTTTTTGGTATGACAACTCTATATTTTCTTATCATTAAATTTGTTATAAAATTACCTACATTTTGATACTTGCTTAGTTCATGAAAACGATGCGAGCAATTACCTACTTCAATTTAGCTGTTTATATTGGATATCAGGTAATAATGTTCGAAAAAGGCCGACAACGATTGCTACTAACTTTTCACAGGAAAAGAGTTTTTGTACTTAAAAAAAAACAATTAAAATTTAAAAAAATGCCTAGAGCAAATTTTTGGTGGCGTCTCTGGATGGTGTTTGTAAATATGTTTTATGTTTTAAAAAACATTCGTCTGGAAAAAGAATGAGGGGTCCACCACATAAATCGGGATCTCCTACTAAGAGATTGGACTGTTACATCCCATTTCTGCTTTAAAACTTAGTTGTGTAAATGATCCATCCACATTTTCATATTAGACTAAGATTAATATGGCTATGTATTTGACTAGTTATAAGGGTTTTCTGTTTTTTTTTTCAATTTTCTCACAAATATTCTGTGATGAATAGTTCGCTTATAGCATATGGTCTGACTTTAAACCAACCTTAATATTTTTATAGCATATCTGCACAATGTTAAATAATCGATTTTCTTAAAAGAGATAATCGATTCTGATAAAAATTTTAATGGAAAAATCTGACTTATATCATGTATACATTGTAACGGTACGACAATAATTATTTTAAATTATTTTTAGGTTAAATTTATTAAACGACCTAAAAGTCCTATTAAATTTTTTAACTCATTAAATTGTATAGTTGGTTTTTTTGTAAAGAAATCAGTGTATTATATTGTAGATACATAAAATCCTGTTATTCTATTCGATATATTGATCGACGTTTTCTAAACTTTAATCGACGTTGCTTTTGATATTCGATAAAATAAATTAAAAGATTGATTTGATCAAATAAACAAATATTTGGTTTTGTCAGATATTTTCCTATAACAGATGGACTTAATATAAACAATATTAGACCGCGCATACTATGGACAAATTTTTTTTTTCTTTGATGAGAAATTAAATTGCTTAAAAAATGCTCTTTAATGAAGTGGATAATAAATGGTTCATTTTCATTAATATACTTAAATGATCTCTTATAATTTTTTTTCGACAAAGCTACATCATATAACATACATGTTTATTTTGTATTCGTGACTAATGAGTGAGTTTGAGATGTTTCAAATGTTATGTATTTTTATTGATAATAATAATTTTTCGATGATACCACCTTTTTATCAACGTATTTTTTACAAATATTTTTTTTTGTTTTTATTAGTGATGTATAGATTTTTACACTTTCAATTTATCCCAAATTATTTGTTCAACTAATATTTGAAACTCGTTTTTTGAATGCTATGTAACACAAATCTTTAAAATTCTTCTTGTTTTAAATGAAGTTGTATATTAAACAGTATTTATTCAAGGTTTTATCCATATGTTCGATTTGATATACGAGTGTTATGGTAAATGTCGAATATTAAAAAAATGATACACTGGTAAAAAAGTTTACTCGATGTTAACTTATTATTAAGTGTATCGATATTATCAAAATCTTTTTACGTTTGATCGAATCGAGTAGTATTTCGAGGAATCGGATGTTTCATCATAGAAAATCGATAAATTACGAATATCGATTTTTATTATACATTGTCAAATTAAATACACGCTATAAATCAATTAAAAATAAATAACTAAATTCAATTTGAAAAAAAAATGAAAAATACATATTATATCTCGAATCGAGCATATGAGTGCCTACATATTCTAAGTATTAGTACGATACACCATCATTTGCGATTAAATAAAAATCAGTCGTTTCAAAGTTATTATTATAAAGTGTATGCAATATTAAATTCATATTTTTATCGTACTGTGATGGTTTACCTACTTATTTTATTTTGTTGTTATTTTTTTAATGTTTATTGAAGTGATAGTTGTATAAGAAATATCGTGTACAGCCAAGCTGAATATTTAATTATAGGTTACCTGCATATAATTTACTTCTCAACAATTATTATTAATTTTCAAAGAGGTTAAAAATTAAATAATACAATGGCAATGCCTATCTATCGCTTTCGTGTATAATTTGTAAGATTAAAAAAAAATATGTTCTAATTTTTTTTTCGGGTGTAGAATAGTAGGCATTATAAACGTATTGAGCTAATTTGGCAGAAATTAGAATATCTGCCTCATACAACTAGTCTTAGTCCTTATGTTAATGAAAAATTGGATTTAGCTATTAAATAAAATGGTAACAATATATGGAATAGCGAACATATAATTTAAATTGATATAATTTAAAAATAAACAAATCGTCAATTCTGCCCTCGAATTATAAACAAAAAGCAGCAATTGGTCAATTTTCCTTTATATAATGTGATAGTAAACATGTCGTATGTACGTACTGTGTACCCACTACCCATGTGAAACTTATTATTTTAAGTGATATTTTGGTTGATGTCATATATTTTTGTTATTTTCTAACTTAGGAAACTATTAAAGTAACAATTTTATTGACTTATGTTATTTTTTCTCTCCTTCCACAAACAAATAAAAAATAAATAAGAACCGACTTCAGAAAAAAACAAATCTAAGCACACCTACTTCGAAATTATTTGATTAGGTGTTATCTATAGTAAATGAAAATGATCTATTAGTTATTTTTTACTTTTTAGTGTTTTTTTGAAGTCGGCTAAGTTATATCAAAGTAAGAAGAACATAATATATAAAAAAAATCAGTAGGTGAAAAATCAATCGTCTATTTTTATTCTACACGTCTTAGGGGTGGATGTTGTTTTTTCAAATTAAAGAATAGAACTTATGCAAAATACAGAAGGATATAGTATTAAGTATATTATTCATATTTTGTTCTCAAAAATTGTAAATTAACAACTATATATATAATTTCCATTATTCTTTAAAGAAAGAAAACGATCTGTATGGCAAAATGTAAATAGTAGCATATACAGAAATATCTCGCTACTATTTCAGACTTCGACTTTTTTTGGCAGACGTCTAGAGATAATCAATTAGTCTGATGAATACCTTAAGGCTTAAAGCTATAATAAAATTCTAACTAAGGGAATTTACGGACTTGCTAATTCAGTTCGGGATGACTAAATTTTTTTCTCATAAAAAACTATAAAATAACTTGATAATTAAGAAACGATCTTGAAACCTATTTTTTATATTGGGAAGCTGAAAGGCAGGCAGGTAATTTTTAAGAAGACATCAGTTATGAAGGTATTTTGAGAGTCCTTTTTTTGCTGTTATGAAAGAGATAAAAGTTCAACATTTTGGTACACATCAATAAACTAAAGGGCGCAATGCTAATATATACTACACGGAGAAATCAAATCCGCTAAGTTGAATATTAATTAACGATACTAATCTATTATTTACTTACTATTTAAAAAAGGAATAAAAATTCTGTTTGTATATAGGTAGGTAGGTTACCTTTGGAATTATAATTTGATTTTAAAAATACTTTCTTCTAGGGACCCATTTTTTAACATGCTTTTATTCTAAACTAGCGAATCATCTTCGCTTCGCTCAGGTCCCTAGGTACGTTTTGACGTTTAGTATGGAATAGATTTTTTTCAAATTATTTTTCGTGAATTTTTACTATCGAACGAGTTAATCTGCTAATCGGAGTGAAGACAAATCCAGCAAAACAAAGATCATAAAAATCGGTGCAGTAGTTCTCGAGTTATAAGTGTTGTAACAAACCTGTCTTTGTTTTAAATCTATACCAGCGGCACACTCTCGCTTCGCTCGGGTTCGGGAGTTTTACTTAGATATAAATAGTTATTAGCCAGCGTTAGGCATATAAATTTTACTTTCTTTTTTTCGTTAATTTTTCTGATGTTTTAGTACTTATTATCCTACAAAAAATCAGACATAAAAATTGATCCAGCCGTTCTTGAGTTATAAATGGTGTAACTAACACGACTTTGTTTTATATATATAGAAGATAAATAAAAATGAATCGCCGTATGTATGCGCATAACTTCCGATCGACTGCACCAAATTGGATAGTTTTTTTGTGTTTGTTATTGCCAGGACAAACTTTGTATGGAAGAAAATAAAAAGATTTTTTTTAAATCTCAAGATATGAAAAGTGAGTGAAAGTTTTAATCCCGGAAATCAAACCTTAAGAAGGTGAGAATGGGGATGAAAGTTTGTATGGGGAAGCAAGCCAGAGACGAACCCAAGCGAAGCGAGGGTGAGTCGCTAGTACACTGTACAATAATATTATATAGATTGGTCACCTGTATGAACTACATAGTCAAATCTTCTTTTGACAAAGAAGGGTAGGTTTTTGGTAAATAAATACATAGTCTTCCCCTCTATACTATTGTTTTTTTTTTATTTTCTTAATTTTATAATATTTTTAAATTATTTTCGTTAAATCTAGAAAGTCTAAGAATGTAAGACCAAAATTTTTAAAACCATAATGATTTTATTGTAGGTAAATAACAAAAAGTTTAAGAAATCAACATTTATTTGAGCAATTAGTTTAGTTCCTCCTGAATGAAAGAATGTTTTAAGCAGTCAGTTGCTGATAGTCTTTGGTTTGAGTCCAATATTAACATTTTGTCTAACAAGTCTTTTAGCTGTCCTATCTTTTTTTCTTCACTACTAGTTGGACTTTTGTAGCTTTTTTTTAATTCCTTATACAAATCTCTAGTAATTGTGAGATTGTTTATTTCTACAACCTTCTCTCGTCCAGTAAATTCATCTGTTTTGTGTAGAAGAAAATTATTGTTGTAATTAAAGTGCTGATCTTTAAATTTTCCTTTTCTTAATATCCTACTTGGTATTTTACCTTTCAAGTCCATGAAACATTTTAGCATTTTGTTATTTGTACTTCCTGTAAATAGGATTTTTGCAGTTGCCATTTCATAGATTGTGCAGGCAGTTGACCAAACATCAACACTATGCTTGTATGGCACTCCTAGTATAATTTCTGGTGCTCTGTAGAATCTTGATACCAAATATGGCGTAGGTTCATTATCATTTATTTTAGCTGCTGATCCAAAGTCACAAAGTTTTAAAATGTTTTTCTTTTCATTAACTAAAATATTGTCAGGTTTTATGTCAGCATGCACAATGCCAATCTTTTTCAATAGCCGTAATGAGAGAAGCAATTGTCTGCTGTAACTCATCAATGCTTTAATATTAATGCCATGGTTTTTGCCATATTTTTTAAGAATATTTCTTAAATCCATGTGAAGAGATTCTAGGACCAAACAAAGGTGACCTTTGTGCATGAAATGTGAAAAAAATTGCACACAATGGTACTTATTGTCGGGATCAGCACTTTTGATTTCCTTTAAAAATTCCATTTCCTTTAACCCAGTTTTATACATTAAATCATTATTCCTTATAATTTTTATTGCTACATCAGTATTATTTTTACTATCCTGAGCTTTTATGACATTAGCAAAAACTCCCTGCCCTAATAGGGCTTTGATTGTGTATCTATTGTTATTTATTACATCACCAACTTTGATGTTATAATAGCCTTCAGAATCATCCCAGTTATCTTTCAATTGTGAACTTTCTTTTCGGTTATCTTGAGTAACATTATCTGACATATTGTTAGGAGCAAAGTCTTCTTCAGAGAACATATCCGTAGTATCCTTTGCAGGTGTAGTTTTCGTAATTGACAGATTCTTAATATCTCTTTTCATACAGAATTCTTTGAAATCTTCAAGGGTTTCATTCTCATGATTTAAATTTAATTTAGTTTCTGTTGTATGTAATTGTTCTAATAATTGTTTTCTTTGTTTGCGCCTTTGTTCTATAATATGTTCTTCATCTTCAGAGTCTAGTTGTGCAAAATCTTGGGTGAATTCAGGTGAAGGATCTTTATGTTTACTTTCTTTATTTACAGATTTTTTATTTTTAATAGTTTCTATGTCATAACCTTCATTAGAACTTTTATAATTGTTATATTTACGTTTTCTAGTATTTTCTTTAAGTTTGTATTCTGTTTTACTTTTTAACTTTGCAATATTTTTTAGTTCCTTTTTGATGCATTCCCTTTGTTTCATTAATTCTTCAATACTAGTTTTCACTGGTAAGGGTGGTGTTTTGCTTTCCTTTGATTGATGTTTCATATCTTCCCTGCTTCTTTTTCTGCTACTGTTCCTAGAACCTTTTGAGGCATGATATTTAGAATGTTTTTCATATTTTTCAGCCATGTTGCTATATACTTTAAACAGTACAATACTTTTAAACTGTTATTCTCTGCACCTGTAAAAAGTAACATTTGTTTTTTTGTTTAGTGAAAATTCAAAAATAAAAAACTATTGATGATAACCAAATAAATAATTTTGGTAAAATGTGAATTATAAGCATAATATGTCACATGTATGATAGCTGCCTTTTATTAAGTTGTCAAATCAATTAAAATTTGTCAGTAATCATAAATTTGACATATCTTGGCAGGCAAATGGAGTACTATGTACTATATTATCATTGATTACATTTCCACCCTGCATTTTGTCATCAGTTCCAACATTACTCAGTTTGAACTTTTCATGTTGTTTTTGATGAAAATGTTCATTTTCATGTCCTCCACTCACTTAGTCCTTTTAGTCACTTTACTTTTCCATCCATGGTTATCTATATTGAAAAGCAATTGACAATTAATAAAAATCATCAAAGTATATTAACAGTATGATACATTTACAATATCTTATAAGGATATTGGAGAAGATGACATTCATTTTATACTATAAATAAGAAGATAAAAATATTCCATTAATTTTATATACTTATAGTATACACGTCACGATTTCTTTTGAAATTACAATAGTACACACAGCATGAAAATTCACCAGTATAAAGTCAAATATTGCCTAGTTATTTAATAATACGCTTTATTGACTTTAAATGGGAATGAAAAAAATTCATGTTGTGAGCACTCGGTTACTATAAATCACTGTTGACGATTTTAGTATAATGAAATTGTAACATTATAGTTTTTTATTAATAAACTTCTTTGATAAACACTGACACATAACCCAAAATATTTTTTTTGCACAGAAACTTATTAATTGTTTCGAAGGTATTTCATTTTTTGGATTGTTTATACTGTGAGGTAATAACAATTTTTGATATTTTTCAAACTGTTTCATTTATTTATGTAGTATTCTATAGATGATTATTATACTATACAGCTAAAAATTATATTTAAATTACAAAATATTAAGTAGTAAAGCAAATTTTATTTAGATTTTTATACATTGTATTATATCTAATAACCTTTTCCTCTCTTCAAATTTATAAATTGACAGTGACAGTTTTTTGATTTGTCTTTTGAGTTTGACATTTTTGCTAAAAAATAGATTATTAATCTAAATTCTAAAGTTAATAATTTCCTTTTTTTATATACATTATATAAAGAAATCGTTGTTAAATTTTATTAAAAATAAGTACTTATATAAATATAAGCACACATTTAACTTTACGCAAAAAATAAAAAATAATTCTTAGAATAGTTTATGGCTTTTACTTATTTTATCGATTTATTATATCGATCTTGATTGTAAAAAATGTACAGCCCTATCATTTACCTACGTTTTGACTTTTATGTTTATTTCTCTTCACCCGGCACCTCCGAAGTTCGAACTCCGATTTCCGAACTCTGAAGTTTTCGTAATCTGTGTCCGAGACTGTCTGTGGCATCAGGCAAGCCGCAAGATAGGGATGTCGGCAGTGCAAAAAATATCGATATATCGATTTTCGGTTTTAAAATAATAATGTATTTAGTTCAGTCTGGCTTAATAATACGTAATAGCATTTTTTATATAAAATGCACATTGCTTTATTGCATGAGAATCTCAATAAAAACAAAAATATTTTACCCACTTCCCATAAACTGGATTTTACGGCATTTAAAGAGAGTGACGCGTGATGGCCACCACATACACATCTTTTAAGGATTTGAATTCTGTTAAATATTTCGCTAATAAGTTAAATTGGAAAAAATATAGGTATCGTTTTTGATACGATTTTCGATATTGAACATTTTGTATCGATATGATGTTCTCCTGACCAAATCCGGTCACGGTGGCCAATCTTATTGAGACTAGTCAACTGCGCAGGAGATATTATAGTGCACAAGTGTACGCGCAAAACACAAGTGCACTCTCTATTCCTGTCACTCTCATACTCTGGTGGGACGACCACTCGACACGACCAGTGAGAGTTAAGGCTCAGGACCGACGGCTTTACGTGCTCTCCGAAGCAGAAATACAGAAATACTCAATAACTAAACTTGGCCCAACCCACTTGACTCGAACCCAGGACTTCCGGGTATGCAGCCGTACATGCTAGCCATTACACCACTGAGGCATCGATGTATCGAATCAAAATATATCGGCTAAAAGTATCGATATATCAAATCAAAAATATCGATAGTCGATACATCGATGTATCGATATTTTTCAACGAGCCGTAATATCCTAAGAGGACATCCATGCCTAAGAGCCAAATTTTAAATCTATCATACATTTTATAACCTAAAATTTAGTTTTAATTATAAATGTGTGTAATAGAATAACGAAATTTATAATGTCTTTCTTTTACAATTCAATACCAAAATGTTCGCCACATTTTTGCCAACGTTTCATACTTCCTTATAGAAGAATTCATGTCACGCAAGGTAAAACTTAATAATATTAAATGATTATGTTTACAAATTCATATATATTATTATTTATTATGTATTATTATTTTATCTAGCACAACAATTATATGCTATATCGGCGTTGGGGATTGACGGATATTTACAATCTAGGAAAAGGACCCGGGAGCAATTTTCTAATTTTTCAGATAAATTTAGAACAAAAATGACAGAATTTGTATCGGACTCAAAGAACATGATTTTCACTGAAGACCTGAAAAATATGATTCATATAGCTGAACCAAGTGATATAGATTTGGTCTTAAATATGATAAAAAAGTGAGTTTAATTATCAGATAATATTTTTACAGAAGATAATTGTATTATTCATGACTATGTTGTATTTTCATAATATGCTTTATTTTTAGGTTTAATACCCAGAAGACAGAATTTAGATTTAGTTCCTTTATTTTTGGACCAATAGTAATGAGAATGTTCCATTTTCTGGATGCTCCCAATGAGGCAATCAAAGTGGGTATTTTTTGTTATTTGGACACATAAGAATATATTTTTTTATATATTTGATATGTTATTGTAAAAACTAACCAATTTTACAATCATTTGAAGTTGCTTGTATAACTTTTAAATAAAAAAAATTACTTTTAGTGTTTTGATGATCCAGTTAATGATGATTTTTTTGCGCAATTGGTGTCCTATCAAATTCTCTTGGACCTCCTATATAATCATGAAATGTATGATGAAATGCACAGGATATTTGAAAAGATCCAACACAAACAATTGAATATGACAAAGTTTCCCAAGTACTCAGTAGTTTTGATATTGGCCGCTTGCTATAAACAGGTAGTTGATGTAAAAAGTAAATATTAAAATGTAATAATGTATCAATAAATAACAATTGTATTAATAAAAACAATTTTTCTTTAAGAACACACCAAAAAGTTTAGAGTATGCCACAAAATTATGGTCTGAAATGGCAGATGTTGGTACTATACCTGTGAGGAGATCTGCTGCGTTTATGGCTGGTAAGTGTAGACTTTAGAATTACTAGTTATTTGTATATTATACATAACTAGCAGTACCCGCGGCTTCGCCCGCGTCCAAACTTCCGATCATTAACAAAATTCACAGGATCACCTGCTGGGCTAATCTGAAGATTACCTGAAAATGTCATCAAAATCGATCCAGCTGTATTGGAGCCCATAGGAAACATATGTACATACACACATCGATTTTTATTTTATTTAATCAACAATTTAAATTTATTTATTGCTCGGAAAATGGAGTCTTTTATGAAAATTTAGTGACACACCGACTGCAGTGCCACCTACCGGATCCATTTGTGAATTCAAACCATCTAGGGGACCAGGAGCCCATTGTAATATACACACATAAATTCATCTAAATCTGTCTAGCTCTTCAGGAGGTGTAGGTTAACAAACACACATACAGAATAATTATATATATATATATATATATATATATATATATATATATATATAATATATATATATAATTTGTGATACTTATTAGTTATTATATATTATAATTAATTGCCAGATTGGTGTAGTGGCTAGCATATACTGCACATCTGGAGGTCCTGGGTTTGAATTCAGGGTCGGGCCAAGTTTAGTTATTGAGTATTAGTGTTTACTTAATCTGAGTTGCAGCCCGGAGTTGCGAAGATGGCAGTGTATTATATCCTTGTCTCAGAGAGCACATTAATCCGTCCGTCCTACGTCCTAACTCTCACTGGTTGTGTTAAGTAGTTGTCCCATCAGACTATGAGAGTGACAGGAATAGAAACAGGAATATAGAGTGCCGGTTGTGCCTGTGCACACACTTGTGTTCTATAATATCTCCTGTGCATCTGGCTAGTCTCAGTGAGATTGGCCACTGTGGCCGAAATTGGTCGGGAGAACATTATTAAAAATGTTTTGTGTAAATGATTTTTGAGGGTGTTTGGCAGGATTTACAAATATATACTATAATATTTACAATCTGTAGTGATCTATCACAGTTGACTAGTATATATGTATGATGCATTATATATAAATTTTATTTTACCAAAGAAGTTAAGACATTGATATATTTTATTAATTTATCTTTATGTTCAATATTCTTTAATAATATTTTATGTACATTGCTATTGCAGCACTGGCTTTAAACCAAGGGGCACCACATCTGGCATTAGAGGCTGTGACTTTACAGAAACCTCACTACATTACTATAAGGAATATTAGGGTAAGTTGAGGCAATCATGAATAAATCATACATAAGATAAGTTTTGAAAATAAAACTTCTTTAGACGTGACTGAGTGATAAGTCAATACATTGGAAAAATGAGTGAAGTGAGGGAAGTGTGTCGCGAAAGTGAGAGTCAAATTTATTATTAATAATTTAAAAATATATATATTTACATTTTTATAATAATGAATTATTATTTGTATTCAGCCCTTTTTAGCGTTCTGTCTCCCTTCAATACAAGGGTGATCAGGCCATAGTCCACCACGCTGGCCAAGTGCGGGTTGGCGGACTTCACATGTCTTCCGAGAATTGGCTAGGTTCTCTCAGATACGCAGGTTTCCTCACGATGTTCTCCTTCACCGTAAGACAAGTGGTAATCATGTTAGAAATGATTCGCACATGAAAATGTCAGAGGTGCGAGACCTGGGATTTGAACCCGCTTCACTCGGTTTCCCAAGCGAGCGCGTTACCACTGGGCTACCATTGCATTATAATTATTATTTATAGAAATATATATTATAATGTGATGATGATTTTATAATTTTTTTTACATGTACAGTATGTAGTGTAGAAATAAATCCTATATTTTGCTAATGTTATTTTAATTTTTCTCTTATAGGCTATAGCATTAGCACAGTTGGACCGTCTAGATGATTCTTTAGCAGTATTAAGAGGGGTTTTAGAAATTGATCGACCTGAACAGAAAGACAAACATACATTCTTTGAGGAAACAGTATGTGTACAGTTTTAATTATATTTTTATTGATATACATTTATTTATTCATATCCATCCATCCATAACATAAAAGAATAGAATGTTATATTGTCTTTTTTTGATGTGAAACATCTATTGGCGCTCTTTGGCAGTAAAACCAACTCTTATGCCGTGACGACTCTGACTCGACTCTCATGTGTACGCGCGTATACATATGTATATGTATACTATACATTTTGTTGCCTCTCTGTATGAACTGCGTAATGTTTCTATAGTATACTTGACACGTTTACCCGCTTGTATATACGCATTGTATTTTTCTTTTAAATATTATTGTTTTTAAATTGCTTAAAAAACTCGAATTAGTTATATTATTTCTTTATTTTACTCCATATTTCCTTATAGGTTTTAATTAATTATGAATTCTAATATTAACATAGATGTTTCACATCTGGCGGGCTTCCCGTGACGGGCAACTCTTTTTTTTTGTTATATTTTATAATGAAATATAGACATGATAAAGTTTCTTTTTTATCGATGTAATTATTATTAAGTATTTATCTTTTTGCAGATTTCCAAAGTAAAGCAAGCAGTAGAAAAATCAGGCAACAAGGATGTATTAAAAGAATATGAAAATATTGAAAAAGCTCTTCGAGATCATGGGCTTATTGACAAACAGGTACTTGTGAATAAATCGCTTTTCGATGTCCTTTTATTTATAGACGACACATTTAGTTCAGTTTTTAGTGACTCTACTTGCTGTGCCAGCGGTCGCAGGTTCATTTATGGCCGTTCATTGTGGTCGCTGGGGGCATTTATTTGTGTGATGAGCACGAATGTTTGTACTCCATTCATGGGTTTTTATATTTATAATTTGTATATACTATATTTATAATATGTATTTAAAGTGATATATATATAGCGTATATCAACTATCCGGTATCCATTACACAAGCCTCGTAATTTATCATGGAACTAGACTGCGCTGTGTGTTAATGTCCCAACATATTTATTTTATGTTACTAATAAAATGTATTTATGGTGTATTTAAAGTGATATATATAGCGTATATCAATTATCCGGTATCCATTACACAAGCCTCGTAATTTATCATGGAACTAGACTGTGCTGTGTGTTAATATCCCAACATATTTATTTTATGTTACTAATAAAATGTATTTATTCCATTATATTAATATGGAATATCGATGTGTACATAATGTAATTGATTTATTGTAAGTGTATGCATAATATTTTCTTTATATTTCAAGAGTAGATGATAGATGAATTATTATTGAATTATTGTAAGGGACCATTCATTAATTACGTAAGGGTTCTGAGGGGGAAGGGGGGGGGGGTTCACAAAAATTCTATATGTTCTTATCTCGGGAGGAGGGGATAAAAGCCATTGTTACGTAATCTAAACTAATATTATAAAGAGGTAAAGTTTGTGAGTTTGTAGGGGGTAATCTTTGGATCTACTGAACCTATTTAGATGAAATTTGGTAAGAAGATAGTTTGAGACCCTGGAGAGGACATAGGATACTTTTTATCCCGGAAATCATCCCGTAAGGGGGTGAAAATGTGGATAAAAGTTTGTTTGGGGAATCAACCTAGGGATGATCCCGAGAGAAGCGAGGGTGAGTCGCTAGTATTGTTTAAGTCGAAATGTGCGATTTCAAATATCTGAGATCTATTTTTTCTCTTTGTACAATTTCAAAAATAAAAATTTTTGATTTACGTTAAATTATGAGTTTTAGTGCAATTTTACTTTTTCTACATGTGGGGTATGTGGGTCAAAAATGGGCAAAATTATCCTTACGTAATTAATGAATGGTCCGTAATGGTTTACTAAATCTTTTTGATGTGAAATCTTTATTGGCGTGCCTTAGCAGTTAAGTTGACTCGTAAATTTGAATATTAACATAGATGTTTCACATCTGACGGGCTTCTCGTGACGGCCAACTTTTGTTCTTTTATATTCATTACTATAGGTTAAACTTTTAATTTTTATAGGTTAAGTTAATTTCTTTGTTTATGTTTTTAGACACTGGACCAATTAATTACATCAGATATTACATCAAGGTCAGAAAAGCAAAACCTACCAAGAGGGATGCCAAGAACGCAATATGGAAACCGTCAGAAAAACAGAAACTTATAGATAAATTATACAATATTGTATAATTAAAAAAGTATATAAAAATAATTGAATTTTAATTAATTTTCAGACACATTAATATTTTCAAAATTAAAAGTAAAAAAAGGTGAATTAAGAAAAGTGAATTCTTTTGCTTTTATTTAATTTGCCGTTTAATTATTTTATTTTCTTTTATGTATCAATACTTTTGGTATAAATAAATTAAAATGACTTAGAAAGTTGTAGAAGGCTGTACAATATAAATTGTTGTGTGAGTGAATGAATGATGTTTGTATGATATTCTGTACAGTTTGTTGTTGAAATTAGTTGTTTAATAAAATATAATGGCTTATATTTGTTTTTCTTTGTTATTATTTCAGAATTATCCCTAAAAATATTATTTTGGCAAATCGCCGAAGCTCTTGGCCCCTAAGATTAATAAAAATATCCTCCTGATCAATTAACATGGCGGCTACTCATTGACACTAGCCAACTGCACAAGAGATGTTATAGTGCAGTGCGTGTACGCACAGATACAAGTCCATGCAACACAACGAGTTTCTTTCTAATGTAGGTTGCCTGGAAGTGATAAGGCCACCTTTACACAAATATATATTTGTATTCATTTTATATGTGAATTTACACGTGCCTTTACATTCTGTGTACAGAAGTGCAGTCCACACCTCTGGCACGTGACACGTCCTTCCCACAGGCTGCTGACGATCATTCTTCTGGCTAGGGCAATACAAGTCATAAGGCAATTTGTCAAAGCAAAGGCACATTTGGAATAAAGCTTTCAGCACTGTCGATAACCATGTTATTCCATATTTCTGCGAGAACTTCTCCAGCCTTCTAAATTCAACGAAAGAACGATGAAGGAAAGCTGAACTATTATAATATATAACGCCATCTATTGACATTTATTTGAACTAATTTTTCTTAGTTCCTGATGAGACTACAAAATATTATGTCACCTGTGTTCTAACACACTAAGAACTAAGAAGTTCTACTCACTCGTGTTGTTACTTGTATAAATATTAACTAGCAAAATCCGCAGGTTCGCTCGCGCTAAAACTACAAAAAAATCTCAAAAAAGGTAGTTTCATACAAACTTTCATGCTCTATTTTACCCCCTTTTAGGATGCACTTCGAAAAATGCTAAAACACATATTTATTTAATTTTACCAAGTTTCAAGTAATTCTGATTATAAATATTTTTTTGGATTGTATTATAACGGGTTTTCCCGTGGGAATTAGGTAATCTCCCGCTGTAAAAAGTAGCCTATGTCACTATCCAGTCCTCCAACTATCTCCACACAAAAAATCACGCCAACCCGTTATTCCGTCCGTTTTGACGTGAAAGAAGGACAAACAAACAAACACACTTTCACATTAATAATATTAGTATGGATTACAAGCGACGTTGTTTATGCGATATTTAAATTATTATTATGACAAAACTAAGGTAGCGCAATTTACTGCCAAAATAATTATTCAAATATTTTAATTTAGTTTGACCAGCTTTAGAATTTCAAAAGACTTGAATTACTTAATTTTGTTTGACTGTGAAATGTATTTTCATTACGAATCTGTTTTGGTACGAATTTACCTAACTTCTTTAAACAATAATAATAGATAATTCTATTAAAACTTGAGTTGAACTCATTGGGAACATAAAACAAAGTTAAGTGAACGTGTGTTAAATGCACCTATGTATACATAAACTAGTACGATATTTATATTCTAATAGCCACCCACTCATTGCTTTGGTGAAAAGCTCTAAACCGGTGGTAGGAATCTGTCAAGCCTGAGGAGTCCGACTGGATGGGTACCACCTCCTTATCTATTTCTCCCGCCAAGCAATAATGATTGCATTCTTGTGTTTAAGTCTAAAATAGTTAATCAAGTTAAATTCAAATCAATATATTTTTTTGTCATAATTTTGACATAGAAACAAAAACAATAAATTTAACCATCTACATAGACACTATTTAATTAAATTAATGAATGGAATATCATTCTCAGTTCTCAGTTTGCTAATTAAGTTTTTTTAGCTGATTGAGAGTTCCGTTTGCTGATCGGCAATTTGAAGAGTTGCAAATTAAATACTTTCGATTATATTGATCAAAGATAATTATCAACCTATACTTATCATGATAATTATCAAATATAATAATTATCTTTGTGATTATTTATTTCATGATAATTATAGTTTCGGACCCTGCTTAGCACCATAATAAACTTCTATCCCCTATCCCGTGGGCATGATTTCTTTTTCTCAAGATAAAAAGTAGTGTGTAGTGGTGGGATGTTATTTTGACAAGGTCTATTAAAATAGCTTCACACGTTCTGAAGATGGGTAGGTACATACAACCGTCAGACAGAAAAATGTATCTAAGTAGGCACATATGTAGACATTTATTTAAACACTAGCATTGGCCGCGGCTCCGCCCGCATTCAGATGACCAAAAACCAAATTCTTAGGTTTTCATTTCAGTATATACCTACATTGCAGTTTTAGTATTTTTTCTCAGAAATGAGACATTTTCCCGCGGTAAATAGTATCCTTTATGTTATGTGTTACCCGGATAACCAGCTACAATAATATTAAATTTCATCAAAATCCCTCCAGTGGTTTTTCCGTGATGCGGTAATAGACTGACAGAGAGGCAGACAGACAGACAAAAAATTCTAAAAACTATAGATTCGGCCTCTGTATCGATAATAATGTGTATTTCAATAAGTTTTTCCAAAAAATATTTAATGTATAGATTCGGCTTAGTTACAATTTTATTATATGTATGGATTACTGCTACCATTTGTATATAAATTTACATTTTTAATATGCTTTATATAGCTTTAACTATTCATTACTAATTACGTAGGTAATAAAAATTTAAACCCAGCTAATTATCCTGTAATTATTGTCTTATCGATTTGAAACTTTGTACCTTAAAAGTATGTGAAACCCGGATTATAATAGCCAATAGCTATAAAAATTTGATACCATCGAGCTGATCTAAAGAAGGAGCTAGTAGGTGGATAGTGGAACCGTTCAATGGCTGAAAATTTTTGGAGATTATTTGATCCGTTTTGACGAATCCCGTACATAACTGTCAGTCCAAAATCGTGTATTTTTAGTTTTTATAACCTTACTCTATGTACACAATATAATAACAATTATTATCATAATATATTTTTCTATATTATATATTGTTTGTTTATTTGTGTAACGTGTATGTATCCAAAGTGAAAGCTATGTAAAAAATAATAAAAAATAAACAGAACAGTGAGCCTTGAAATCGGCTATAGAGACTTAATTACCACGCCGTCGCGTCGTTTCACCCTATTACTTTATTCGTCGACGGAAATTGGTATTGCCGGGACGTTTTAGATATTTTGTTTACATTAAAATATCGTAATGGAGTGAGTCAGATTGAGTGATGAGCTTCTGGTTCTATTATGCTTGTTAATTAGTTTTATAAATTTATAAAGAATAAAAAAACTGTAAAAGTATAAAATGGATTTACATATTATGTGCTGTGTTAAATAGCAGTAAGCTATATTTTTGAAGTACATACTTTTTTATTTAAACCACAAGTCGAAGTAAGCGGGGTAACAGACTACATTTTTAACATTCTATATATACTATGTATTTTATATATATATATATATATATATGACAATTACTTATACCGCGCTAAATTGTTAAATGTGTTAATGAACAATTTGGACGAACCAGTTTTTCTGTATTCCTGTGGGAATGTGTGATTTTCCTGTTGTAAATACCTTTTGATACAGGAAAATCTCTTACTAAATGTTGACTCGAATAATAAATTAGCGCTACACAAAATTACAAAAGAAGATAAGCGACAAATACTTATACAGACAAAAATTTCAACAATTATTGTTTTGGGGTATATACTCTGTACACAATACGTAACAGTCTTTGTTTGAAAAAAAAATCATGTACAGATTTCTCTTCGTTACTAAATTATTCTAGAATAAGGGTAATTAAATTTTTTTTTGGCAATTGTATTGTTTGCCGTCGAAGGGTAAATCTGAACCATGTCATGCACAGAAATCTTAATAATAAGGTAATATTATTAAGATTTCTGTGATGTCATGACAGTTATTTTTTGGTGTCAGTTTCCTTCTGCTTTGATCTCGAATATTGTACTGATTGTATGTATAATGTACTAGAAACTCACCCTCGCTTCGGGTTCGCCTCTAAAAATCAAAAATAAATCTATCCCACGGGAATCATACATTTTTTCGGAATAAAAAGTAGCCTAGTTTCATTAAAATCCATTCAGTAGTTTTTGCGTGAGAAAAAAAAAACTTTTTTGATGCAACATAAAATATGCGTATTTGATTTAAATGAGATTTAAAATAGAAACTCAATGCATTTATAAAAATAAGATCTATTTTATGTTAAAAATCATAACTATTTTTAACCAATTCCTTATCCACTGTGTGTGTATGTATGTGTACACGCAGGGCCGAAGTGTCTATAGCCGGTAGGCATTCTCCTTTCAATACGTGTTTTTCTAAAGGAATTCAGAAAGTACTCACTTTTCCTAGTTTAGTATGTTAAAAGAGTCCTTGGACAGTTAAATATATAAAAAATATTTACGTAAATTCATAAACTGAATGGACCTGGTTCGGGGAACTTTGGTAACGAATTGAAAGGCAGAGCGTAGGTATAATTGAATCAAAATCTGGTTAGGCTGGCTGAAAATGCATTTTATGTATCTGACATTTTACGTATCTCATTTATGAGCATGTGAACAGAGCAGTAGCAACGGCTACTGTAATGAATGTCTGTTTTTATATTTCAACTTGAGGAAGTCTGTCCGTCCGTCCGTCCGTCCGTCCGTCTGTCTATCTGTCTGTCTGTTACCGCATCACAGAAAAACCACTGGAGGGATTTTGATGAAATTTGTTATACTGATAGCTATAGGTTATCTGGGTCAACATATAGGATACTTTTTACCGCGGGAAAATGTCTCATTTCTGAGAGAAAATACAAAAACTGCAATGTAAGAATATACTAATAAGTAAAACATAAGAATTTGGCTTTTGGTCATCTGAACGCGGGCGGAGCCGCAGGCAATGCTTGTATACACAAAATATTATAACTAGCGACTCACCCTCGCTTCGCTCGTGTTCGTCCCTACTGAAGATTTAGATTTGTATGTATTTTTTAATGCCGAATCATAAAAAAAAACCAAAAAATAAAAAAATATTTTTGGGGCTGGACCACCCTTATCACGTAGCGGTATGAAAAATAGTTTACGTCCTATTCTCAGACCTACTGAATATTTTTTTTCATAAGAATCGGTCAAGCCGTTTCGGAGGAGTTTTGTTACAAACACCGTGACACGAGAATTTTATATATTAGAGAGATATAAATGCGAAAGTTTGTAGAAGTTGTAGGTTGCTAGAGACATACCTAAGCAAGGATAATCTGGTTTTCATATGACAAAAAGTTTTTAAATATAATAATTTCTTGATTTTATAAACGATTGACACAAACTTATAGACATTTGACTAGTTATCAATGTACAACAACGTACTAAATATCTGGCATAAGGTAAAAGAAGTTGCCCAAGGTTTTCAAAAAAATACTAGAAAGAAGCAGGTATAAAAAAGGCAAAAATAGATTTATATTATTGTAGGCCTTTCATGAGAATTAGCGAATCTAATTTTAACAACTTATATTGTATACTTAGGAGTCATCTGACGGAATTAAGGTCAATGACAAAACCTATAAGTATAGTGTGTTCTTATTGCATATTTTTCTTCGGGGTTGTTATATTTTTAGTCTAAAGTTAATTTATAATTTTTAAAACTAATATTATTACATTATGATTTAAAGCTTCAATGCTAACTAGTCATTATACCTAATGATAATATT